GCTCTTGAGACATATGCCTGCAAATGAACTTCCTGCTGATCTTGGTGCAAAGGTCCTGTCGTCCGACAAGTTCAAGGGCCACAAAAGGCTGATGGGCATGTTTTTGGGAAAAGATGATGAAAACCAAGAAGTTGGAAAACGAGAAAATGGAGATGAAAGAAAAAACATGGTGAGTCAAGATGTAGCCAAAAAGGCCTTGAAAGCGATCATCCTGTTTGCTCAAATTGCCAAAGCGAGAAGTCAAGATGATGACTCAGTTCAGCTTTGGCATTTCCCACGACCAATCCGTTCCTTTCAGTGATCCTGTCAGTGGCACACCTTTTTATTTGATCGTCATTGTCATCTTTGGTTTTGGAGTTTTGATTGGAGCAGTGCTGATGTGGCTGGCTGTACTTCCATATTTCCATCGTGTGACACTGGTGAGATCTCAAACAAACGTGGTGCCGAGACCATCATTCCTTTTTCATGCACATCCTGAAGATCAAAGACAACAAAGAGATACAGCTCAGCTACCAAGGAGAAGAGAAGATGCTGGAACTATGCCTTCGGCGGGCACAGCTGGTGCCTCTTCAGTGGCGGGCACGGCTGGTGCCTCTTCAACGGGGGGCACGGCTCGTGCCTCTTCTTCTGCGGGCATTCCTGGAACCTCTTCGGCTGCTGCTGAACGAGTTAGCGCTGTTGGTGCTGCTGGGCAATTGATCGCTGCTGAAGCCTCTTCTGGTGCCGCTGCGCGATCGGGTGCTGCTGGGCGGCGCCTCTTCTGCCCGACCCGGTCTCGCGCCGGCCGGGTCATCGGACTCCAATGTGGCTGCTGCTGGCAGCTCGACAGGCGCTGGTGAGAGGGGTTCGGTAGGAGTAGGTCCCAATTTGAGACACAGAGGCAGTAGATCCAGAACAGTTCAACTGTACGTCACAAGGAATGGTCAAAGGTACCACTGTGACATCAACTGTCATGGACTGAGAAATGCATACCATGTGCATCGGTGTCCTCGTTGTGACACATGCGGCCCTGTACAAACATACCCAGTTGAGCCATTGTATGGTATAGAACCTGGAAGCTGCTCACATGAGGAGTTGCAGCACGTACAGAGTTTGAGTCAGGGGGGTGAGATCAAGAAGTACCAAGCTTGCGCCATCTTGCGCCATTTGCATGCTTGTTGGTTGAGACAAAGGATGGATCTCACACCCTTAGAAAAGGGCTTGGGCCTGAGTAGGTGCTAGGACACGTACTAGCACCTACGGGGAGTGCGAATAGCATGAAACCCTAAGGACCCTTTTAATTTTCCATGCGCAAATCAAGAAGTGTAACTTCATGGACCGCCTGTCAGGTCACAAACTCGCTGCACATCGCAACCCTTTTCGAGCCTTCAATGGAAGGAAAAAGCAAGCGTGGAGCTGGCAGTCGCAACTTGGTTTTTTTTGTGGGTGAAGTGAAGGTGTTGTTTTGTGGATTTGGTTTGAGTGTTTTTGATTTGGTTTTGTGGTTCAGGGCGATTTGGATTCCCACAAAAAGCATCACATGCTTGGACGATGAGATGTCGAAAAAGTGCATGCCGTTGTGGCGCGAAGCACATTTCGAAGTCAAAATGCACAAAGCACACCGACATCGGAGCACTTCTCCATTCACAAGGTAGAGCCTACTTTGTGATGTTTCTTTCTCTCAGCTACTTGTCCATTTTTGGAACCACAGGGATTCCATACCCCTGCGCAGATCGCACAAAGATGCCATCTTCAGCAGAACAAGCGGCAGCAATCCAAGAGCTCATGCAAAGTGTAGCCAAGGCAGGACTTGACAGCTCACTTGACATTCATGAGGAGCTGGCACAAATCTTGAGTCTGGCGAGCTGCCAGGGATCAAATCCTGTGCAGGATAGCATTGCAGCTCTGTGCAAAGGGGGCTTCACTGCACACATTTGCCTCGAACTTTTGAGCATGATCGAGGACTTCCCGATGAAGATGTTGAAGTGCATTGTGAAAGACAAAAAGCCTACTGATTTGAAAGTGAACCAGGAGGCATATGATGCACATGATGGAATCGCATTCCTCTTCAAGAAGTTGAAGGAAAATCGTGCTTTTAGCCGAGAGAGGGCCTTCATGATGACCTACAAGGCCGGCGGGAGTTTCAGTCCATTTGGCGCTGAGCTTCATGAAAAAGGCTCCGACTTCCACGAACATCAGCATCATCAAAGGAGTGGAGGCAATCTTTCCGACATTGTCAGAAGATGTTACATCAAGGGAGAACATGTGGATGTCATGGCCACAACCGGCTGTCAAAGACTCAGCAAACATCAAGGCAGCCGTGGAAGCAGCAAGGCAGGCTCAGGCCAAGGCGAAGGATGTAGGAGTATCCCCATTTTGATGCATGCTGATCTGGTGGGACCCTTCAACAAGGCGACTTGTTACGACTCTGTGATGCCTTTCGAGGGAATGGATCAGAAGGAGTATGTCAGCTCCTTTGCCACCGCAGCGAAGAAGATCTTCAAAGGAGATACAGGAGCCTTTGACATTTTGTTGGGCATGATGAACGAGAGGGTGACGTTCCCTGGCTTGACAAAGGCCAGCAAAGTGTTATCTCAGCAGAGGAGATGATTAAATTGGATATGTTGAAGGACATTCTTTGCAGGAATTGGCAAGAAGGTGGACCTTTTGGAGAAGGAGGAAGGTGACACAGCAGAAGATGTTGCCACCATGAGCTGGGATGACGAAGGAGGAGATGAGCAAATTGGGCATCCCAAAGCCTCTAAAGGACAAAATGATTAAGGCGGCGGAAGAAAGACATGTCTACAAGGTGGAAGAAGTCTTGTCAATGTGTGGCGAACTGGAAACTCATGGGGTAAGGCCAGTGGCAGATGACGAGGTGCGGGCTCAGTTCAAGGTGGAATCGGGGAAATTGGAACCTGCAAAGATCATGAACAAGAAGTTCAAACAGATGTCACAGGATCTCACCTTGGAGAGTTTGAACCAGGAGTTGAACGAGAAGACAGTCGTTGCTTTCTTGGACGAGACGGAAAGATTGAAAGTCTTCTCTGATGTCCTTGGGAAAAAAGATTTGATGTGAAGTACCTGGATCTTGCTTTCAGGATGATTTCGAGCAGACTCTCCTCATCTCCACCATTCTTGCACACCCTTGCATGGATGCTGATCTTGACAAGTTCCAGGAGCAAATTCAGTCCATGGTCGACTGCATGTTCGCTGCCCGTTGAAGAGGAGAAGTCCTTTGAATTTGGATCGTCGAATTGATATTTGATCTCCAGGACGAAACAACAAGGGCATTTGCAAGTTAAAGCTTTTTCCAATTGATCTGGACATGGTCCCACCAAAAAAAGCACCAACGTCGGAGCACTCTTGGAGTTTGAGATGTTGTAAAAGCGCATGCTGTAGTGGCGCGAAGCACATTCCAAGTCAAAATGTTAAAAGCACTACATGTTCCGACCACTTTTGGACGCGCAGATGTCGTTTCACGTGGCAGGCGCAAGGGATTGTGCACCTTGTCAAAAGTGAGCAAAACGTGAGGGTTTTGTAGCAGTTTCAAAAACGTTGGCAGGCGTGGAACATTTGAAGATGATTTGCAAAGATGCATTTCGCGTGGGCGCAATACAAGAGACACATGAGTCAGACATGTTAGGAGGTCCGGGCGCTGATTTCCTGAGACCGGTTGCATTTTGGAGCATCAAATCTTCAAGTTTGCTAAGATGATTTTACGTGACAGGTGTGCAGCACTTCGTATGACCTGGCCTCACTTTTCCAGGCGCATTCCATCAGCTCTGCACTCAAGTTTCCGTTTTGAAGGGCATCTTGCAGAATTGCTTTGTTTTTGATGTTGTCAACTTGGAAAATTGAGGAAGTCTCCCAGAATTGCTTCGTTATTGATGTTGTCAAGTTCAAAACTTGAGGAAGTCTCACAGAATGTTGCGTTTTTGGTGCTGTCAAGTTTTAAAAAAAGCAAATCTCGCAGAACAGCTTCGTTTTCAAGCTTGCAGATAGATAGATAGATAGATAGATAGATAGACAGATAGATTCGATTCACAACTGCAACTGCGCTGCGCTGCACTGTACTACACTACAACTACCACTACACCTACAACTACAACTCAACTACAACTTCAACGACACTTCAACTTCAGTACAACCACAGCTACAACGACAACTTCAACTACAGCAACTGCAACAACTAAAGCATCTACAACAACAACTACATTACAACTGCAACTACAACTGCGGCTACAACAACAACTTCAACTACACACCAACTACACTACAACTACAACTACAAGTAGGCTACAACTACAACTACCACTACACTTCACTACAGTAGACTACAACTACAACTACAGCTACAGCTACAACTACCACTACGCTACAACTACAACTGCAACTACAGCTACCACTGCCAGTAAACTACGCTACAGCTACAACTTCAACTTCAACTACACTACAACAACAAGTACCACTACACCTCACTACAACTACAGCTACAACTACAACTGCACTACAGCCACAGCTACAACTACATCTCCTACAACCACTGCAACTACAACTTCAACTACACCACAACTAGGATTGCAGCTACAGCATTGCAACTTCAACAACATCAGCTACACTACAACTGCAACGACACCTACACCACAACTACAACTACCATTACAACTACAACTGCAATTACATTGCACTTCGCTACACCACACTACATCCTGCAGTTGCGGGTGAGGTGACCACTGCAACCACTCCAAAAATTCACAACCACCTTTCGGTCCATCAATGGATTCGCTCTGCCATCCATGCATCACAACAACTCACCTCAGGCTCCTATAGATTCCTATCTTTGAAACTTCCGCCACCGCCTTGTGCAGTACTGATGGTATAAGATAGAGAGAGAGAGAGATCTATATACACATGCAAGTATACATACATATATTTATATATATATATACATTTTAGTGGCACAACACGTTTCATGTCACATAGAGGCCCATAAATTTGTAAACGGTCAGACCTCGAAGGTGGCTGCCGCCCGCACGGGCACTGACACGACGGAGGCCGTAGAGCGCCGTAGTCTGTTGCTTTGAAACACAAATGATTTTGTTAGTGCCATAAACATCGATATATTTATATCAAATTTATCTTTATATTTATATATATATGTATGTATGTAGTATATATATATATATATATGTATATAAGTATGTATGTATGTATGTATGTAGGTAGGTAGGTAGGTAGGTAGGTATGTAGGTAGGTAGGTATATATGTATGTATGTATATATGTTTGTTTGATTGTTTGTTTGTATGTATGTACGTATGTATGTATGTATGTACGTATGTATGTATGTATGTATGTATGTATGTATGTATGTTCTATATAGATTCATATATATCACAAACGGGTTGTGCGTTCTGAATCGTTTTTCCCCATCCATACATGGGATCCTCCAATAGATGCGTATATTTTGTGATGGGATGAAACATCCAACCAGATGTTGATGAAGGGTATTGTTGTCAAATTTGTGTATTTGATCGTTTGATCAAACTGAAGGAATACTTAATCCAAGTAATTTTGGAAATCAACTATATGAGGAAACTGGATCCAAGTACAATAAGGAACTACTACGGATTCCGTGAGTGATTCCCTGCACCCGTCGTAAGGAATTGGGGAAATCAACAAATTTTGGGAATCACTGTCTTTTTGTTCTGGCTTATTGTTGCCTTAAATCAGTTGGGTTTCCTATGTTGCTAATTGATCCATGCAAAACTCACACCATGGAGTGATATTCAAAGCTAGGCGGATGCTCTAAACTTGGCAGCCGGGTCATTTTGGCTCAACTACTCGCTTTTCAGGAGCAGGCACAACATGAGACCATGAAACCTAAGTGAAAGAGAAGTACTCTCACTACAAGCTGTTGAACACGGCATTCCGAAATTGTGCATTACTTACAATCATGATTGTTCTCCTTCCGGTGAACTTGGTCACCTGGCTGAGTTCGTAGTTGTTTCCCTTTTAGTTTGATTCCGATGTGCTGGCAAGTAAAGATGAAAAAACAGGCGGATGCTCAGCTCAGCAATGACAAAATCAATCAATCACCCAGTCGCCAGTCACCCAGTCCAGAAAAAAAATCAATCAATATATTTGAGCTTTCAGACGTGGCCATCTTGGCCATGGCCATTTGATGTAGCATGTGGCGTCGCAGGCCAGCGTTGCTTCCGCTGGCCTTTCTCAGATTGGCCGTGCTCGTCCTCTCGCTATGCAGCGTCGAGACCCTGGTCCTCCCCTGCAGCTATGGAAACGCACCGCGAAACGGTGCCCGTGGAACAGCGATACGTTGCAAGGCGTTCAACCTTGGGAATCTCTTTGGCGAAGAAGAGGAGAAACTGGACACCTGGAAGCGCTTGAAATAATCTGAAATCCATCTGCCAAAATTCTGAAATAGCTACTGGATAATATGGAAAATTGTAATGTTTAATAGATGGATAAATCATCTGCATATGGATAATTCTCCATGGCCATGTTAGATTTCCAGAGGGTAGCATGTGAGCTCCCTTGAAACACTGAGGAAGTCCCCGAGAATGTGGCAGAGATGGTCTCTGGGTTGAAGAGCAGCACTGAAAACTCCTTGAATCAAGGCTGTAGCCGTTTGGACATTGAGCTTCCACCCTCCTTTCGGAAGCTTGGTGGCATGATGCTGCATGGGCACTGCGGGCACCGCCCTTTGTTGGGGTGGGCATAGGACCACATGTATGCAGTCACTTTTAAGCGTAACCGTTTTTTTTTCGATGTGTATACATACGTATATATAATTATATATATATAACATATTCTTTTAAAATAATAAATAAATAAATATATATATATATATATCATATATATATATAATATATATATATAAATTCTGTCCAGAAGGCTTCAAATATTAACAGCATATACATAAGTGGAGCAGTTGTCGTTGTGCAAATGTCCCTTAGCTAGGCTGGGTGTGGAGGACAAGTCCCAAAAAAGCTCCATGGTGGCGGACAAACAGAGACGCTTGGCGATGATCTGGTTAGAGCTCCGCACCGGTCATGCCCAGGGTCAATGAATATTGGCTCAGGTGACCCAGGTGGCCCAGATGGCTCGCGTGGTCAATTTACCTACAGCTGTTTCTTTGGGGTATGCCGCATGCCACATGTTAGGCAGTATATATCGGAATATATCGTGTTCAGCATATGAAAAAGGGACCAAGCACCCGGCATACGGCCTCAACTATCATTTCCTTGTGAGTATTATTAATGGTTGGTAGCTGGGTTGTTTCCAACTCCCGTGATATCTGAGTTTCAAGGCGATGCAGACCAATTGCCAACCTTTCTTTTCAGGGATCATTCCATTGATGAAGGCTGAGAAAATTTGGTTGACCATCCATATATGTAGGACTCCTTCGTTGACTTTGCCATGTTTTTGGCTTGGGAGATTATGGCTTAATGACTTGGCCTTCCAGCGTATGATTGAAAGCCGCACACCCCGGTGGTCCATCAATATGAAGGCATCAACATGAAGACACAGAGGCCCTCAGCAGCATCCTGCATCATCTCTAGCTACATTATTTTTTTATATTCTTTCATAGTGCTACTATCCTTTACTATCATTTACTGTCTTGTCGATCACAGGTGAACATACTGTTTTTTTTGAACATAGGATGTTGGTTGTCCCATTTTGACCAGCTGATTTTTGGTAAAGGGTGCTTGAACCACCACCCAGTGGATGTTTCACCACCAAAAGTCTTCGGTTCAGTGTCCTGGCTGGTGGATTCATCATATGAATCATATGTCCAAAATATCCCATTTAATGGATGGCCTACAAGGTTCGCGTGAAAAAGCATTTACATATTGGAAAGGCAGCATCATATGATCAACACATTGTGTTTCCATGCCAAATCATGCCAAAGCCATGCCAAAGTGGGGCTTTCCTGTGCTTGGTTTCATCCAGATCTTAACTTAGATTTGTTGAAGCAGCCCGGTTTTCGGCTTAATCTAGGTCTTTTTGACCCATTTTTGTGGATATACGTGGATCAAACCTTCATGTTGTTCATTCATTTTGCTCGTTTAACCACAACCATCACACCCGCCATCATGATTGGCGGTCAATGGCGGTCATATCATATTCCCCAATCATATTGTGTTTCAACACTAGCGGGTGGTTCATGATGGTTCCTAAGCAATTTGATTACTCTCGTGTGTTGGAACCGTGCATCTGAGTTGTTAAAAACCAGTTTCCTGCTTGGACGTGCATCCCAGGTATAGTTGGATAGCAACCCATATACAAATGCATGTATGTATGTATGTGCCTATGTATGTCTGTATGTATTTATTTATCTTTAGATAAGTAGAAATATCCATAGAGATATGCGTATGTATATATGAATATATATGTATATAAATTTAAATATCTGTATACATATTTGCATATGGTGTATATAGATAGGACCTTTTCTTCACCTTCATTTTCCATTGGAAAACATGAGCATGCATATATATACATATAATTTATGTGTATATATTTATATATATTTATATGTGTGTGTGTACGTATGAACTGCTTGCGGCTTGCGGTTCCTGTGATGCACTTCTATATTTTCAAGATGGTTTCGTATATTTCTAGTAAAAAAAAGTCAACCGGGTTTCTATGGGCAGAGAAACGTTATTACATGTACACACATCAATATGCACATATGTACATATGTACATACGTACATACATACATACATACGCCCATACATACATACATACATACATCCATGCATCCATACATCCATACATCCATACATCCATACATCCATCCATGCATCCATGCATCCATGCATCCATGCATCCATGCATCCATCCATCCATCCATCCATACATACACACATACATGCATACACACATACATACATACATACATACATACATACATACATACATACATAGATACACACATACATACATACATAGTAATTATAATTACACAGTAATTACATGGTAATTACAATAAAATTACATATTTACATATTCACATATTTACGTATCTACTTATCTACGCATATGCATGTATATACATATATATATATATAGATAGATAACTTTCACTATAAGTTTGTAATCCACGGAAGCTGGTTCAACTTTTGCACTGCCACAACGATAGACATTTTTTTGCTGTATGGAACAAATATCAGATTATTTATATATAATTATATATATTCATATACATACATATATATATGTGTGTATGCGTGTGTGTGTGTGTGCATACCTACATTAATAACAGGCAAGGAACAAATATACAGCACAAAATCCAGATGATTTTGGAGGGACTTGTAGCACAACTCTGGACCTCTGGGAGCCCAAATCGTTGCGTCTCACTTTGTCCGAGGTAAGGACCTGGTGCTGAAGGAGGTGGCGCGTGGTGACCGCGAACTGGCACGTCTATTCGTGGAGATGTTGGAAGCCATTGGTCCCGGCTTGGTGCGCCCTGGGGGCTAGGGCTGATGGGTTAAGACAGAGCGCAATGGTGCTCGGTTTAATGATTGTTAATGGTGAATCATTGGTTTTTAATGGTGAATCATCGGGTTATGCATGAGTTTTGATGGTTAAGAATGGTGCATGATAATTCATGTCAGTAAAGCCATATGTCAGTAAAGCCATGTCATAAAGTCGTTCTGCCCCAACATTTTTTTAACCATGAGCTATTGACATGCATGTGTATGTTTGTAACCGTTCTTTGCATACACATTTTCCATTTGTTATTTTCAAATTATTTATACCTATATATAGCTCCATCTATTTCTATAGCAGCTATATCTAGATATATCTATATACCTACATATCTAATATGATTAATATGGAGGTTTCCTAAATCTTAGGGGTGGTATCCCCACATCCAGCTATTGGGGATCCCCCAGCCTGGCCTGGCAGGTGGTGGCCTTCCGCACCTCGTCGCTGGAGAAGGCGGCGAAGAAGCGCTGGAAGTTGGACAAGGTCAACGAAGCGCAAGTGTTGCTTGGCGGTTGGGTTTCAGCTGGGATTTCATGGGTGACCGTTATTGTTAGTGTATGTATATGGATATTATATATATATATATATGTGTGGGATGTGCTGAACCCAAATAATCAGCCATTCTCAAAATCATAATAAATGGTTCGTGTAAACCATCCCTTAATTGTAAGTCTATTATTGGATTGCCCACCATAAGTATGCATGTATGTTTATATACATATATGCCGTGTACATGGGATAACACATGTTAACAATATTTTCTTAACAAATGCTAAACGAAAGTTCAATCGATGGAATTGATAGGGATATAGTAGGAAGATATAATAGCGGATATCTAATAGGGATATGTGTGATAAGATAGGGGCTACCGTTGGTTTATTCAGGGGGATCCATATGGGATACTATGGTAAATTATGGGGTAGTTAAAATAGGCATCATCCCCAATTTAAAAAAATGGGTGTGACCATTTAATGGGTATAATCATTCATGAATATATAGTGATTTATTGGTTATATATTTAGGGCGTGATATTATGCAAGGATGAATTTTAATTGGTTTAATTTGGTGTTATAATTCGTTGACTAGATGGGGGTTTATGTTGATGGGTTATTTGGTTAACATGATTGATGATGGTTCATGATGATTATGGTTGTTAGTCAAATGGGGATTTAGCAGCTATTATAACAACCTCACGGTACGACGTCACGGCAAATGATGGTAACTATCCCAAAGTTGCCGAACTCAGGTTAGCGAATTGTCGATCCATTATTTATCCAGGCGGCTTGTGATTTCACACAAAAAGAAATAGAAAACGGAAATTGTTTGCATGTGTTTGTGCCGTTTGAAGTAATATGTTGCTCATCCAATCTGGTTGAATTTCAATCTGGTTAAATTAGAAATGACACTCACTGGCTGCCCTGCTGTGCAAAATGATGGTTACTACTTTTCGGGAAACAAATAATATAGCTATGGAATTCATCATTTTTGAATAGGAAAATGATCCATACTTGGACCACTTTCCATAGCTATGTTAGTTTACTGGAAGGTAAAAAATATCATCCCACTTAATCTTGATTTGGGACATAGTCCTTTGCCGCAACCACCACGTGGGACCGCGGGACTCCTATTTTCCACAACATTGCATGGGCGTATGGTTGTGAATATGCCCAAGCTGGCAGATATTAGTAGACGATCTCACCTAGGATGATTGCGCATTATGCACACATGTAGATATGAGAATACGGGGCTATGTGCTAGTTGACAAAGCCAACAACAGTGGAGAACTCTGTGGACAAATCCGGGACTCTAGGACATACTGGCTTTGAACGGTTTGAAGCAGCAACTCCAAAAGTTTTTGCTTGTTGAAACTACAAACCCTCTATTGTCCCAATGATGCCCTGAGATCCCCAGGATTTCGTTCTTTGATTCGAAGAAATCAGCCTTTGCCAGTGCCTTGGCTGCCAAACATGGTGCAGGTGCTTCTTTGATTGGAAAAATCATATCGATTCACGGTAGATGCATTGGGGGTTCAGATTTAGGACGTTCCTTAGAAATAGCTCTGGATCATCCATTTCTTTGTGGTTGACAACATTTTTAGAAGTGGTTAGTTTTATCCCAGTGGAAGCCAACCTCCCCTTACCACAACTCACAGTCTTTGGATATGGATACGAGGTGATACGAGCCAACATTGGGGTCCCAATTGGCCTCTGTAAAATTCTTGTGGCATACAAAAACTGTTTATCGTTTGGCAATTAAACATAGCTATGGGAAACTGCCATCTATAGATTATTTACCCTTCAAGAAATATTTGGTTGTCAATAGATATGTTAAATTACCAGAGGGTACGTTTGGCATTCAAGGCGAGATCCCCATACCTGGCTGTTCCAGGTGAAGTGGAAGCACCTGCGCAGTTCAATCAGAAGCTCAGAAAGTTGGATTGCAAGTGTCATGGCGATATTTGCTTGTGAATGGTTGATGAATTGCTGAGGCCTGCTGATTTCATGGCTAGATTTCATTTTATACAGACTACATATGTGTATGTATATATATATGTAATTATATCTCCTGATTATATGTGTTGTGTATATACATACATTTATATATATATATATATATATACATATCTATATATGTTTTTGTTGCTGTTTAAATAAATATATATATATATGATATTATATTTGTTTGTTTTTTGTTGCTTTGTTATTGTGTGTTCAAAAAACATCATCATAATATGTTTCTGTCGCCCAGGTGTCTCTTAGTGGTTGCCCCTCACCTGGACCAGCTGCGGTTCGTTGCCCAGCTCAGCAAGGCCCAAGCATCATTGAAGGATTGTAAGAAGGTATACCCAATAGACCATCCCCGATACCAGAAATGAGGCTTATGATTGGGTCTACCGGATTAATTATTGTAATTATTATTGTTGTTGATTATTGTTATTTATTGTTATTACTATTAAATTATTATCACTTTTATTTTTACTATTATTTTCATTATTTTTTTACTATTAATAATAATTATTATATAAAGAGATATATTTACTACAGTAGTTATTATTGTGATTTATTTAGTAACAAGAGATACCTCTGACGGCATGCGCCAATGATATGTTGTTCATTCCTTGCCCTTGACTGGACCTTAGTGGATCTAGTCGCTGCCAGGAGGTGCAAGATCAGATGGGCATCATACTCCTGAACTCTCGGATCTTCGGGAACAGGAAAGTGAAGGCACCTCCACGCTTGAAGAACTTCATCAAGAAGGACAGAATGTGAAGCGGAGAAGCTGAAAATGTTTCGATGAATCTGGAAATGATAATACATTGTTTGATGAAATCTGAATGGACTGATTCGCCCATGATTTATTTAGTTTCTCATGTGCTAATCTAGGTTTTGCAAAACGAAAACATGCGTCCAAATGAGGTTACACATTGCATGTTTGATCGGAAAGGATATGGCATGTGTTTTTAAATGTATCTTTTTTTGGGGGGGGAGTGTAAGATCAAGAATATCAGGATGGGCAGAATACCGCCCTTTTGGTACTGAGTTGAAAGGGACAATTACACGTGGATAGATATGAGTAGGAGTTCGATCCTGCCTTCCACGTGCGCTTCTTTGAGAATGACCAGTGGCCAAAGAATAGCATGATCTACAGACAGGCCAGCGACGACTAGAGGGCCATCGCCATTCTTTGCACAACGAACAGAATTTGGGATAGTAGCGGAAGCAGGAGGCTTTTCACTACTGAGGCAACTATGAACTATGAAATATATTATAATATTATATTATTTTATGTTATTATATTATCTTATATTTTATTATATTATATTTTATTATGTTATATTATATTATATTTGGGTACATTTAATTGATTATATTATATTATATTTTTGTTGTATTATATTACAGTATATGATACTATGCTATAGTTTATTATATTGTATTATATATTATTACTATATTATATTATATGTTAGTATTATATTTTATTATATATATGTGTGTTTCCCATCATGCAAGAACAGATGATGATCATTTGCTGCATCCAACAAATCAATCCAGAGTTACACGATTAATGCTCACGTCACTTTCACTTGCATACCATTTCAGGATTTGCCTTTACAAACTTAAACACCTCAAACAGATGGCGCTTTTTCGGAGTGTTTGTGTGTCGACATAACTGACATGACCCATTTTCTCTCGCTGGTTACAGTCATAGCCCTTTACCAGTTATAAGTCAGTTATAAGCCAGTTCTGAGCCCGTTCATGGAATCCCCATTTATAAGCCTATTTGATCCATTTTTTACCATTCAGATCTGGTATGTCGGGCCTTAATCCATGACATGTGTACACCCGAGGTGAGCAAAAGTGGCGATGCGCCATGGATCATCGCCGTGCAGCGGCAGTTGGTGGGCGGGGCGGTGGTGACCAAAGAAGTGCTGCGGAGCCAGGACGGGGGGAACTGAGGAGCCACAGAAACATGGGCATTTACGGCATTTACCCTGAAGATTCAAGTCATGGAAAAATGACCTATTAATAAATGATTTGGTTCTTAAAATGGTAATTGTCCATAGCTATGTTTAATTACCGGAGGGTATGAGTAGCATAATTTCACTGCAAATGGGGGCTGAACCAATTGTAAATCTGGGCAAACCACCAATCATGGGGGATATTGGGGGGAGAGTGGGAGTTCATTGGTATGGATATATCCTGGATATTCATTAAAGATTATATGACATTATATGTTTGTATGAGATACGATATGTTTGACATATGTTGTGAGACCACTGGATCTGGCTTCTGGTCGAGACCAAACCCGGCCGACTAAGCGGATGTTCATCCGCCTCGGGATTTGCTACAAAGCACTGTATCAACCGGAAAGGGAGGAGCTTGACAAACAGACACGTGATGACACATGGGTTAAACATGGAATTCCTTTTCTGAACCTGTGGAAAGTGTCCCTTTTCACCAGCCAGACATGTGGATACAGTATCAAATTTGCCAATTATAGAAAATTGTGAGACTTTTGGAAAAAACAAACCGCGCTTTGATGTGATGTTGCAAGATCATTCTGGACATTGATTTGTTTGAAAATAGGCTATTCTAAATCCAATGGGTTGCCATCAAATGTGGCCGATTTATAGATGATTTTCCCATTCAAACCTCCATTTAGTTTATGGATTTCCCATTGCGTGTGATACCCGAAGGGTAGAATGAAGCCATTTCCCGACTCCGCATTTGTCAGGAGGAACCTAATGAGGAAGCGATCGAAGCTGCCTTCAAGAAGTATGAATCTTGGCTGAACTTACAGTAGGGATTTAATATAATCATATGGATGTATATAGGGATATGACAATTCATTACCAAGAGCAATATGGATTTATAGGATTATTGGGATATGATATAGTTGCGATATTTAGATGGGCGACTTTGAGTCAGTTGGCTGGTTAATCAGAACCCCCAAGCATAAGTATTCTATGTGTTTTACCCTTGGTAATCAAACATGACATAGCCATGGGAAATCCACCATTTGCAGCTGATTTTCCCATTAAGACCTCCATGAGAGAGGATGTTCCATTGCCAGCTTTGATTGCCAGATTGTCACCAGTTATACAACCAGCTCCATTGTCCATCTAAGTAGTGGAATCTCAGGGCAATTGTGTGCCGATGCATGTTGAACAGTTTTGGGCTTTGATGGTAGTGTAAATAAAGCACTGAAAGAAAACTAATAAACATAATATATATATATAATATATATATATCATTATATATACACTATATATATACACACTATATTATAATATATATATAAACACATATACATATATATATACACAGACTATATTGTAATATATACATATGTATATACATATATACATATATAATCATATATATATAATATACATATATACACTGTAGCAGCTGATCAACAAAGCAGAGTTTGTCAATCAAACTCCCAGTTTGTGTAAGGGATCAACTCAATCCTTTTGGTGACCTGCGATTTTGGCAGAAATCCCGTGACAACTTTAGCAGACCTTCTCAGGCAGAAAGTAGCGATGTCTCCGACAAAGTCGCCGATTTTCTGGAGCAGGGTGAGTGAGACGCGTTCTTTGCCACCACAGATGGTAAAGCAATGGATGGAACTGGATGGCATGGAAGAAAAATAGCGCTCCATCATCCATGGCATGAAAAAATGAAATCTTGAAATTGCGTGAAATGAAATTTTGAGACTTCATGATTTCCATTTCAAGATGGTTGTTGAAATAATTTTGATATTGGTTGAAGATTAGGTGTGCAAATGGTTATTGTATGTTATTGTGCATTGTTATGCTGCCATGGAATGGTCGTGTAATGATCCCTACAGAAGAGGAGGAACTGTATGAAAGCATGAAAGCCAATGTCCCTATATAAATCGTATCCATTCCGTTAATCTAGCCATCGGACAAATCCATACAAATCCCCCACGTGTATAAACGACTCACTATACTAAAATAGATGGTATAATATGTATGTATATATTTTTTAATATGTATATGTAGATATACATACATGGTTATACATGGTTATACATGTGCACCCGGCTATGGGGCTTTCCCATTGCTAGCTTGGACAACAAAACATGGGCTGATCAGGACTGAGAGTTGACCAGTTCGGTCAGGTGAACCCCTTAATGAACTCAATACACTGCAGAGTTCAAGACCATTTTTCCAATATGTTTTCTCACATGCGCTTTTTTTCCATTATTTTGGCTGATAAGATGAAGACTTTACCCAAATGTTTCAGGGTTTGAAACTATCAACCAGAAGATCACATCAGTAGATTCGTTGGTCCCCGCCCCCTTTGCCTCGTTGCAGGGTGGGACTCATATTCCCATGCCCTTCACCGAGGTGAACGGGTGTCCCATCGATTGTGGTGCTGGTTTATTGGGGAGATGTAGCACCAAAATATGGGTATCTTCATGAGAATTTCCAGAGGTGGTTCAACAAAATCTTTGGACCCAGAACAGCTAGACAAGTGTGAGTTTGATACGGTGAATTAATTTGATTTATTCTGATTTACTTGTTCACTTGTTTGATCCCTTTCGGAAAGCGAATAGCGATGGCAGATGTTGACCATTGTATCAAGGCACCAAATGCTACTGTAGTCGCTGGTTTGTACAGAGGGTATACTTAGTGTTAAACGGAACGGAAATAAAATACGGAGCCGGTCAAGATGGGCTATGTGAACCAACCGCTGCTTTTGCAGCATTGAAGCCAGGATTCCATGTATAGGAGATTTGTCGCTCGAATTCCACACTTAGACATGAATCTTGTTGCTGGATAGTTTGCCACATATGAACATGGTTAAAACCATATTATATTACGTACGTAACATAGAGTATAGATAATTATGTATATATATATATGTATGTGTATGTTATGTACATATGCATATGCACACAGTAAATGTGTCAGCTCATATGCAATCATGGGTGCCAACCATATACACCCACATATTTCATATACATACCCAAATATGTATATATATATATATACAAAAACATTTCTATTTATAAATATGTATCTATATAGGTATGATAGCTAGGAATCATATCCCGTGCTGTAACTTCTGTAACTTTGAATCGACTGTATTGAGTGATTTTATCATGATATACATCGCATCCGGTATTCATATATATATATATACATGATCAACTACGTATACATACATATGTATGTGTATATATATATATATGTATTTATTTATATATGTATATGCAGATAGATCAATATATATTTATATATGTATGTATATATATATACATATGTAGAATATATATATATATATATATGTAGAACAGTTTGCTATGGAAAATGACCATTGACAATAGCTACATCGTCGATTGTTTATTGGTTAGTTCTATTTTCCATAGCTATGTTAGGTATTATTGGAGGGTACTAAGAGGAATGATCCTGCTACTTTAGTTTTTGCAATTTGAGAACAGGATCCTTTGGCTAAATTAATGGATATAGATAAACACATTGAGTTGAGTCCTTTATATATATATACACATAAAATCTGGAGTTAAGCTCTTTGAACTCTTGATTCCAGCTTGTTTCATATTTGTTTCATATATATATATATATATTTCATATAAATATATATCATATATATGTATATATCATATTTATATATATATACATATCATATATATATATATATATCATATATATGTCATATATATATATCATATATATATCATATATATATTTCATATATATTTCATGTCTATGTCATATATATTTCCTATATATATATACATATTATATATCCACATTTTTCTTCATTGAAAACATGTGAACTGCAAATCGGAAGGACCAGGCCTTGGAAGTCTTCACCAAGCTGGCAGAATATGAGGCCGATCCTGGCGGATCCTGGTGGTTCCTGGCAGGGAAAAAAAACGACATCTCTGGGAAAACATGACCATCGGAAATTCTGGGAAATCCATGGATGGAAAATTCCATGATTTTCATGGGAACATCATCGAAGCAAATGGGGACTCCCGCTAGCCCTTGCTGACACCGGATGGTACCCTTTGGATATTGCTCCTTGGGATGGAAACTTCATGAAATACCATCCGTCCCAACAACAAGAGAATTCCCCTTGTTTATCCATTCACGATAGGTTTCCCATTTCACAATCCAAACCTACCTATTTTGGGAATGGAAGAATGTCCTCGTTTTGTTTGTGCTAAATCCCATTCGGCGCACCGGAAACTCCACCATTTTTTGATGGGATTTGTTTGATTACCGGAGAGTAATAGGTGATGATCAACCTTGCTTTACACTTTGTCCCCGGGCTGCGGTTATTTTGTCTGTAGCATGTTTACCATCAAGATCTACAGGTTGGTTGTTGACCAACTGTAAATTGGCATGCGCATCCTACTTAGATATCTTAGATGTTTTCTGAACCCCGCAGAAAAACTGGAGCCAAAGGAACTGGAGCCCACAATGTCAGTTTTCATGAAAAAACACTTTGAGTCCCAACCAGGCTCGGTATCCGTCCCCGCTGCCCACAGGAACTGCATGAGTCCGAGCTGGGTCGCGCGATGAAAATGTCCAGGGGCCTAGCAGTGCTGGAGCGACAAGCCCAGGTCATCTATTTCTGCTCTTCATTTAGCTATATACATCTATAGACTCAAAACTTAAACTCAAAAATCATCCAAAGTCTCGCAAATTGAATAGAGACGGATAATGTTTGCGTAAAATCCACAAGATCTTATAGCTTCGCCCCCACACATAAAACTCATCAACACCATCAACCTTCCAGGTGTAGAAGTCACATTGTGAGATCCGTTTGGCACGTGATGCACCTGGTCCACCTGAGAGGGGATGAAAGTTGAAGGATGGAAACATCCCAGATACACACTGGGTTCAGTAAAACTAAATCATATTTTCTTGCATAGATCGATCACGTTTCCCATGAACCAATGTTTTTTCTCATATACTTTAGCTTGCAGGGTAGATCACGTCCCATCCATTGGGTGAAGGATGACCGTTGGGCGCGGAAACTCTCTAGGTTGGGCTATATGCACCCCAACGAAGAGTGGATCAGAGAGATCTATTTTGCCACTTGGATCGAAAAAAGATTTCTCTATCGTTGGGTACAGTGTATCACTGGGCCATACTGGGCCCACCAACATTAGCACCTTGACATTTGTTTCATTTACCCGTAAATTTGGAGCTGAAGGTTGTTGAAACATTTCTCCTCGGTGGGGGCAGGAAAATCAAACTGCACTACGACATACTACAACCTTGAGACCTGGAATCAATTTCTTTTTGCCAGCAGGCTTGGGAAAGGTTGTTGAAGACCCTGTGGAAATATATAGATTCTTTTCAAGACTTAGGACCTGCCAATATATCACTGTTCTGGAAGTCACTCCAGATCACAGCCGAGGACGTTGCACCAACCTACAACACCATTCAGATCAATGAGTATTTCATCTTCGTGAAAGCTTATGTACAAACCTCAGACATCGGACTGGACCAGTCGGATTCCCCCACAATCATGGCTTTGTGCAGTTCCGGAACTTCAACAGGGTGATGGATTACAATATCATGTTTGTATATAAATATACGTACACACGGAGGTTTCCTCAGTCATGCGGGGTACCCCAAATCATCCAAGTCATGGATGACCATGACTTAGCGACTTAGCATTCAAACTTATGATGACTTGGGGATCCCCAAAGAACCACCCATATTTTCTTGACAACACGGATCTCTCTACATAATTGGTTTCTGCCAGATAAATAGGCCGATTGATGGACAGATACTCTTCCTTTTCACCTTGACCTAGGGCATATATGGGCATATAATACGGCATATCTGTAGATGGCCTGTTTTCCAAGCTTATTGTCCAGTCGCTCGGATGTGATCAAAGTAGGCTGTAGATAACAAGATATATGTATATACGTACATATATTATATGTATATTCTGTATATTTAGCACCCCCCGCCAAAAAAAAAGGATAGAACTATAGAACTTTGATTTATCAGGAAAAAACTAGTGGGAATTTACTGTTCTATCTTTTTTGGGGCTTACTATACGCAACAATATAGTCATGTGCATCCAGGCCGCCAAGCACCACGAAGCCTGTTCCCATGCTTTCTCCCAATACCAGGCGGGCACAAGCTAGCGGGTGGGGTCCAAAGATGAGAGAAAATGGGGTTGTCTGAAAATAGATCCCTAAATCCACTGGTTAGTCATGATTATCTCTGTTAAGTAGCCATAATTGGGAGTATAGCAGCTTGATCCGGATTGTGTTGATGTTTGTCTTGTTTCGTTTGTTACTTGATTTTGATGTTTGTTCGATTGTTTCCCAGATGAAATAGGCCATTAATCAAGAGGTTGGATTGGAGTGATCCACAAGCTTCAATCACGGTCAAATTCATATAGCTGGGTAGATAGATGGACATACTTTCAGGATCTTTCAGGTAATCTAAGATGACCGGGGGCAATCTCTCATTTCGCATGGTTGATCTATTTCACTTCTTTTCCATTTCCACCTTCTAGTGTCAGAGGCTCAGCAAAATCACCTTGAGCCTGAGATCTTCGGCAACCTGCTGATCAAATCCCATCACTTGAATATGAATAGGACATCGTCTTGGGATATATATGTATATATATATATATATATATGTATAGTATATACATATGCAGTATACCGTATACAGTATACAGTACAGTATACAGTGCGTATACATATATACCCGAGGGGCCTGGGGTGCTCCGATGGAGAAGCGGTGGGGTGGGGTGGGGTGGGGCAGTCGGTTGTTGGGTTGGGGTGGGGGGGTGGGGCATGTTGCCGTCATGTTCATGTTATGTTGATGTTACGTTGATGCTACGTTGATGGGAGGGTCGGGCTGGGGTGGGGCATGTTACCGTCATGTTCATGTTACGTTGATGCTACGTTGATGGGAGGGGTGGGGTGGGGTGGGGCATGTTACCGTCATGTTCATGTTATGTTGATGCTACACATGCGGCCTCTCGGGTATATATGTGTTCATGTTACGCTGAGAGCATCGCGTCCGTGACCAAGGGACAACTTAGAAGGCACGGACTCAGTCGTAACTCGACTGATAGTATTGAGCATAGAAACACTTTGGCTGTTCATTACTTGAATAAGAACCCTGGTCTAGATGCAGTGCTGTCAGCGTTGGCTCGCTTCAGAAGCACCGTTGCTTCTGGCCTAGTGGCTCCATCGCGGGCCTTCCTCGAAGCTCCGTGGGAAAAGTGAAAAAAACTTTTCACCGTTGTTGCGTGCGTGCTGCTGACTAAACATTCAGTGTTCACAGTGTACTATATAGAATGAAAACACAAAAATCGCCTGACTGTCAGCACTTGCAATTTTCTACACATTGCCAATTCGTTGCAAATAACAGTGTGAAAGTAGCATGACGCAAAATGCCTGAGAAAACACAGTACATTTGCTCAATTTTACATGACCACGCCATGACTATACGATGAAAATTCACAAGTTTACACCAAAATATGCGATTTCTGACTTCTGAGAACATGATTTATGGCACAACATGACTCTGCTTTAAAACGGACGAAAAAACATTGATCCGTTCAACATGATGCTGAAAAGGACGTTGCCACTAGTGAAAAATTGGCAAATTACCTAGGCGCCAGCTGTTTTTTTACATGTTGACACTCAAACACAGCTGATGGCATCGGAGAACCTCAGTCCCCTCGCGCATTTATATATATATATACATATATGTGTGTGTGTGGGTTTAATTCTCCCACCCCCGTTAAACTTCTACATTCATTGAAGATCTTCGATAGGGGTTTATTTCTCCCACCCCCTTTGAACTTCTACATTCATTGAAGCTCTTCAAAAAGGGTTTAATTCTCCCACTTCCTGTTAAAATTCTACTACATTTTTGAAGATCTTTAATGATGATGATCATGATCATGATGATGATGATGATGATGATGATGCGTTGTCTGTCGTGGTTGCGGTTCCGGGCAAAGCCCAGGCATGTGCCGTATATATAAATAGTTATACACATATATATATATGTATATAATGTTGGATCCTGATTAGCATCGCCCCCCCAAAAAAATTTGGATCCTCTTTAATTTGGTTTTGTTTAAGTAATGGGTACTGAAAAAAATTGATCAATTGATTTTGATAGATTTCAGTAAACAATAAACAGTATACAGTACAGAGTATACAGTGCAGTATATGCAGTATACAGTTTACAGTACAGTAGTATATAGTGTGTGTATATATTTATATATATGTAGTCTAAGCGCATACACACACGCACACACACATGTATATATATATATACATGTTTACATATATATATATATATACATGTTTACATATATATATATATATTGTAAATATATATTTATATAGTGTATATGTGTATATATATATATATATTTTGTCTATATATGTATATATATATATAGTAAATAAAAAATAAATAAATAAATATATATATATATATACTTTTTTATATAATAATATTGTGTATATATATATATTGTACATAGTATATATATATTATGTATATTGTATATGTATATATGTGCGTGTGCATGTTTGTTGCAATTAAGTCCCGAAGGTTTTGGATGGGTTTCTTTGTGAAAACCCATGATTTTGGGCTGATCCAATGCGATGTGAGGTCGGCGGCCTCATGGACGGTCCTGCGTGCTACCCTTAGCGGTGATGAGTGCAGAGCTGTTTGTGATTGTTGGGTGTTCACCCTTGGGTAAAATTTAACCCAACTATGGAACCCTGTTGAGGTAAGTTATCTAGTGGGCCACGTTACACAGCTATGTTGGTTTGCTAGCGGGTAGTCATAGTTTTGGTTTATTGGGCGTACCACTATTTTTGATGATGAACAGTGACGCCGAAATGGTTTGTTACTGGGATGGCAAGCCCAGCAGCCAAATAATTGGTGGTTTTATGTTCTTTTGTGTGGGGGGTGGCGACCCTAGATGATGATCCCAAATGACGAAGATATTTCGCCAGGCGAGTTGAAACAACCGAATAGAGATGTATAATATTGTATAATCTAAAGCAATGAGTATGTTTTGGAGATGTTCGAATGTTGTTGTTTCAGCACCATGAATATGTGAGCCAGTGAACCTCCATGGACTCCATAGTATTGATTGCAATCATCAGTCCCAGCATCACATGAAGAGAACATGTGCACGACCCCCCCCAAAAAGGTACCGTCATGGCTGTCATGGCTCCCTGTCAATTCCCCCAAAAACCAATCGCGTGAAAATTTGCCGGGGCCTTAGTACTCGTGGGGATTTCATGGGATTTCCTTAATTGGAAAAAATGCAAAATCATCGAGTTTAGTTTAGTGGTCCTTGTTTTAAAAGGGAAACCAATGGTGGAGAGGCGTCCGCATTTTGTTTGAAACACACATGAATATGTATGTTCGTGGACACCAATGCGCAGGGATAGAATCCACTTACAGATTTGCTTGGTGGTTTGACATAATGCTGCTCCTTTTTTAAAAGAAATCCCCAGAAATTTGAAATGGAATGATGATCCCCAATCGGTGAGTTTTTTGTGTTTTTCAAGGTGGTTAAAGAAGCAACGGGTCAAATCTTAGGCCCCAAAATGGGTATGGATCATCATGTAAGGTCCAGAACATATTTTGGGAGAGCCTGTTGCAATCAAACATATTATGGAGAGTGTTGAAACTGAAAACATGTTTGATCAAACGACCATTGAACATGAATTAGTGAACGCAATTGAAGATAGGTGAACAGTGAACGCAATAAGTTAGCTGTTATTTCTATTCATCCATCTTTGAGCCATAGCAAATTTGTAGATAGGTTGTGTCTACTTTGTGTTGATCAAGAAATTCCTTTGAACATATGAGAGTGGATTTGACTGCTTCAGTGGTCACCAGTGGCTCCACCAGAGAGCTTGGATACATCCTGGAAGTTCAGCTCCATGACTAAGTTGGGTGTAACCTCTGACGTTCGATCTGACGTTCGTGTGATTGAGATTGACGTTCAATGGACCAATGGAGTAACACATCAAGGGTCTTAAGATGTCTCAAGACACGCAGGACTTAGCAATGGTAGTCATGGTAACCATCCGGATCATCCCACCGTGGCTACCGTGTTTCCGTAGAGGTTGCAGGAAGCCCTGCGGAATTTTGATATCGAATTGTTGTGGGGGTGCCTGGCTACCGCAGGTGGTCTTTGGCATACGATTTATTATGATTCATTTATATTTATTATATTTTTTTATGTAAGGGACAATCTGCAGGAAACCTTTGCGTCCTGCGATTGGAGGTAGATTATTTAAGTTCCCTTTTAACATCTTTTACCAAAATATTGATCAATGAAAGCAATATGTCATTTCTGGTGATGTTTGGTATTTGTATGCTCTTGTGAGCTTCTAGTACCCTGTGCTGCTAGAACTATTGTTTGGCAGTTTTAGTAGAGGGTTGAGGTTTGACATGGTTTGGCAGGGTCATAACCCTGCATTGCGACCAGTTGTTCTTGGTTCTGCGTCCATGATGTTCCCAAGTCAACCATCCCCAGCCATCTTAAGGTTTAAAGTGGACAGGCTTTGGATAGGCCCCCAATGGTGGCATGTTGTCCGTGAAACACACTGCAACCTTAGGACAAAGTATTTTTTTCCAAACGCAACATGGCATCGTTCAATAAGCCTATGCCTGGTCGGCATTGGATTCATGGTTGCACTTCGGATCATCGCCCCCATTCACAGCAGTTGGCACATCTCTTCGTTTATAGATGTTTATAGTACGTATTCTTTGGCCAAGGCAAGAATGTGTATAAAGTCTAAGCAAACCAAACTGACATCCAAATAAATCTTGAAGACATCAGGCTTTAAACCTGCAAACACCCGAAAACAATACTGAAACCAAAAGATTCGTTCCGATTATGGTTGCCGATGTTTGCCGGCCTGGTCAAAGACTTATCTCATAGATGTACGCAGAGGATTCCAATGCCAATTGGCAATTTTATTGTTTTGTTGTCATTCACCAGCGTCCGATGTTCTCCAGCTGTAGCTTTTGCTTTTCCATGGCTTCCCACCTTGTGGCAGGCCATATGTGGTCCAGGAGATTTTGGATGAAGTGAATCAGGTGGCTTTTTGCATGTTGGAATGCCGCACTGTGGCACTTGGTCGTAAATCTTCACCGGTAAGCATGGTGAACTGGGATATCTCCCATAGGTGGGGGTTAACTTGGACTGCACCAAGTTACAGGCTAGTTGATGCTGATTGCCTTAATGTTTATTTTAGGGATAGCATATGATTTACACCTTCCGGGGTTATACGCATTGAACATGCATTCCCATTTCCACATATTTCTACGTAGCCTGCTTTTCGACAATGGCGCCATGCTGCCCCCTACTGCATGTCTCGCAAGCTTCCATATACCATGCTCCAGGTTTCTTTGAACCCCCGTTATATTCAGTATGAACCCCATTATACCTTTATATAATTACTGTATATATTAAAGTATAATATGTATATTAATATTATATATATATATTAAGTTTCTTTGAACCCATTACACCCTTTATATATATATTATACTAATGTGTGGTTAGCATGGAATCATCAATCCGGTGCCACTGTTCCAGTTCCGGAGTCCACGAGAATCCTCACGCAGGCCAGCATAACAACCCCAAAATCATCAGCCAACCATCATGAGTACTTAGTACAAATATATCATCGACTAGTCTAGGTTTCTACCCCTCTCCTTGGGCGTTACAATATATGTAGTTGCACCAATTTGTTCACCGTCATGTCTGCTTTTTTAGTGTCAAATATAGTCAACGTTTGTGGGTGAATCTCCATAAATTTAAATCACAACTTTTGTTTTGTTCCCGTGAAAGAATGCGAGAAACCCTTGAATTGCAAGAATCCGTTGGTTTCCTGATGGTTTCCTGACTGTTTCCGGTACATTTTCTCAACAACTCCGTTAAACCAGCAGAGCTTCGTGGCTTAGTCCCTCAGCCGTTCGGCTCTGCGAATCATGGCGGATGCTGATATCAATCCGGCGACCCCGATGCCAGGTGGGAATTCCAGGGTTGGTACTTTGGGACGGAAAATGCACCATATGTATATATATATATGTGTGTATATACTCGTTTGTTCATTTATTTATATCACATGTATCTATATATACGTTTAAATAGATAGATAGATAGATAGATAGATAGAAAGATAGATAGATAGATAGATAGAGAGATAGAGAGATAGGGAGAGAGACATAGATAGATAGATAGATAGATAGATAAATTGATTAGATTAGATAGATAGATTGATTGATTGATTGATTGATAGATTAGATTAGACAGACTAGATTAGATTAGATTAGATTAGATAGATAGATAGACAGATAGATAGACAGACAGATAGACAGATAGACAGAGAGATAGATAGATAGACAGATAGATAGATAGATAGATCGATAGATAGACAGACAGACAGATATATATATATATATAGATAGATTAGATAGATTAGATAAATAGCTGCATGGATGGATAGATTCAAAAGATAAGATAGATGCGATAAATCAGAGGGGATGGATGAGATGGATTAGGTGGACTGGATCGATAGAGCAGATATACGGCAGATTCCGACAGATAGGCGACAGTTAGATATATTCGGAATATAGATTTGTTAGATATATAAGATAAACAAACTACATAGTAATACAAAATGATTAGATATTTAGAGAAATAGAACAGAGAGATAAGATAGATAAACTAGACAGGCAACATAGACAGAGAAGATGCATAGGAAGATCGATAGTATAGGAAGGATATAGTAGATAAGAAAGAACAAAAGAAAACAAAAACAACATACACATTTTGTTTGAAATAAAAATAACTATAGATAGACAGACAGACAGATCGATGGATAGATGGATCGATGTATCGATGTATCGATGGATAGAAAGATAGATGGATAGATGGACAAATAGATAGGTAAAAAATAGACAACTAGACAAGTAGATAGATAGATTAGATTCCATTGGGTTAGATTAGATACATAGATAGATAGATTGATTGATTAGACATCTTGATGAGATATATTGGATCGATTGGATCAATTTGATAGATTAGATATATCAAATAGGCCCGACAGATACGCTATATAAGTAAGCCAGATAATAGATAAGATAGCTAGGTATGAGAGACATAGGAACGCTAGATAGGCTAGATAGGCTAGAAAAAGAGCATCAATAGGAGAGATAGGAGAGATAGGATGGATAAGATAGATCGGATAGAACGGGATTGGATAGGGTAGGAGGGCAGGTTAGGGCAGGGTGGGATAGATAGATACATAGATAGATCGATTGGTAGATCGATAGATCAACAGATCCTTAAATCAAAGATTGATCAATCGATAGATCGAGAGGCAGATAGACAGTCTCAGACACATAGACAGATAGACAGACAGACAGATAGACAGACAGACAGACAGATACTGTAGATAAATTGATAAATAGACACATATATAGAACATATTTTTTCTCATGATTTTATCATGGACCTGGATATGCCATGTGGTTTTGGACAAACCCAGTCTTTCTTAGTGGCTTAGGTTCGATGGTTTTAGAGGGTATCGGCAAGAATTTAGGAGGTATTGAACTCTTGCCATATAAAGAAATCAGATAGATATAAACCATGATAAACCCTAAAACAAACCACCAAGTGATGTTAGCATGGAAGCAAGATGCATTGGGATGTTGCACGATACGTCTAAGGCTGCATAATACTGCATAATCTATCACCAAATAAAGCCAACACCAGCGCTTTGACCCGTGAAACAAACCCATGCTCAAAACATTACCAAATGTCCAAGTTGCGTGAAGAAAATGGAGAAACCATGTGAAATTACTCTCACATATGCGGGTTCCAAGCAATTGCCCCAATGTATTCGATGATTTTACCTTAAGTTTCCCACTTTTCTCCTGGAAAAGGAGGATTTCCCAAGTACTTGAGCAGGACAAGTGGAGTCTGCTGAGCTGGGTCCAGCTGAAACTTCTTTGAAGGAAAAAGAACAGGTGCCTGGATGTCTGGCGCGGCAGTTTCTGAAGCTTCCCTTAGGATTTTCATGTTTTTTGTTTCCTCTAGTTTTTCATATGGTTCCCATCCGTAGTTGCCATGTTAGTGTTCTTCATTGTCCTTCCGGTTTTAGGCGGACACGCCTCCGAAGCCATTTTATTTCAGGGGTGCTGACATTTATAACATTTTATAGCAACGCTTCTGTTTGGTCAGGAAATTGTTATATGATGGGGAAAGAACAGAGGAAGACTGGAACTCTGTGCAATTGTGAGAGGTGTCAAATTGAAAAAAACACGGAACCGCAGATGAAATCTCAATCTGTAGGATCTGAAACAATGCAATCTTGAATTTCACCACTTTTGACCGGACAGATAGATGCGCAACAATCATGTGACACACATAAATACGACATGGTTGATGGTCTCAAGTTGGCTCACCCACCAAACAGGACATAGTCAGCTTCCTCAGATGCATTACCCTGGCTCAAACAAATGGCACTGGTTGTATAGCCATTTTGGCCTTGTTAAACATCGTTTAGATACCTTCAGCCAAATGCATGTGTTTTAGATAATTTGGAACATGGATGAATATGGAATTAACAATGTTATGTGAGAGTCACTAAACGATAATCATGTAACATCATGTAACCATGTAGGTACCAACCAATGCACTGCCAGGCCACTTAGGTGTAAGGACGCACGGCCAGGTTGCATTCAGAATATCAAGTGCTTGAAGCAATATCTTTGCAATTTGCAACCCTTGTTTTGTGGTTCACTGTGGTTCCATGTTTGGTCATGTTTCCTGGAACGGGAGATTCGCTTGTTTTCATGGAGGCCGGTGCGAAACGGAGCGATCCCCTCACTCGCATTGAGGCCTCTTCGGTGGTCGAGATTGGTCGAGTGGCGGTTTTTTAATCAAATGATTGCATCCGTTTGCACCCACTATTTGGTGGTGAATGGATGTAGCGAACTGTGGCTATCCTAATATGTATATGAACGTATGTGGGGCCAAGGAGCTACTCAGTTTCCCATGTGAGATCACATGATAGTTCATATATATATAATATAGATATAGATATCATGTTATTGGTCAAGACTTCCAAAGTATATAATGGTCATTTTTATCAGGCATACTATACGTATATCAATGTATATCATATATCCACACGTAGTTTTGCAAGCTTTGGATTCTAGGTGAAACCGTGTTAGTTTAGACATCATGCACCACTTATTGAAGATTAATCTTCACATGGAAATATGAGTTTATCCTGCAAAGGCATCTCCACAAAGGATGTCTTCAGTAGCTCCCCTTTCGTCTTTATATACCATACAAATCCATACAAACCAGGATACTATGCACATATGTATATAATTATGTGTATATATATATTTGTTTCCCCATGATTCATCTGTATGTATTCTATTTGGCCATTTTCCACAAATATATGTATATTTACATGTATTATATACTGGTATGTGTAATATATACAAATATGTATAGACAACATGTACTGTATTTATCTATGCATTTACATACATTATTCACACATGTATTTATATCTCTACCCAGCCATTGTTTCGCACCCAGGAGCGGCTGGATACCATCGTGAAAAAGTTGGATGAAGCCCTAAGTTTAAAGCAAACGTACGGCCCTTTGAGACCCAAGGAGCCATTTGCCATGGAGGCATTAAGGGAGGCAGATCATGGCGGCAGAATTTGGTGATTTTGAATATTGGATGTTCTGAGGTTGTGGAACAGATGATTACGATATTATGGGTGTAATTATTTGGTTTATGTTGTTACTATTTTTTAACTACAGTATGTTCAAGTTATATAATTATATATGTTGAATCAGTATCACTTTATAAATTGAGGAATGATGGGCAGTAGTAGCTTCAGCATGTTAAAGTCACAAGCCTGTCCGCCGCAACGCAGCCAGCCGCTAAGGGCCTCTTTACAGGAGTTTTGTCAGCACCTCCTTCAGAAGAACACACTGGAATAGAATTTGTTTTCACCTTTCTTGGGGGGAACGGCGTAAACTACTTTTATTATAAACCGTTGTAAACCTATAGGCCTATAGGACCTAAATGGTCAATACATACATTGATACATATGCGTAAATCCAGTCAAAGACCAAGCAACAACAATGACAGTGAACATATATTCAACCATCGTTTCTATTGAGAATCAACAATGAACATACCATAGAACAATGAACATGCAAATGAACATAGAACATCATAGAACATCATAGAGCCCATGTTCCATAATAGAATTGTAATACAGTAAGACAATAAGAATCCATTCATGACCAGGAGGAAATGTCCCCGCTTCCTCCGAGCACTTGGCCAAAGAGCCTCAGCCCTGGATGTCCTTCCGTTGTTTCCGTTGTTTTTTGGGGGGCGGAGGATTTAACCATGTAAAATGGGATACAGTGGAGATACGGGTGTAAAAGCTATGAGATATTTGGGTGCGATTTTCTTTGGTAAGCGTGGCTGGCGAGGAAATTCCTGAACTACATGAAGGTTTTGATGGGAACATCATGAAAAATAATTCAGCTAAATGGATCATTTTCCAGCAAACCATAATTGATTGCCGGAAGGAAATGGTTGATTAAGTACTGTGGTAAACCCAAATCAGTCCATAAACGACTGCCATTTGGGGATGGTTCATACATGTTCTTACCATTTGTTGATGTTCATGTTAGGGCTGGTGCATTATTATTGGGTTTACCAGATTAGTCACCACGTTTATTATTTGTGTGATGATATATATATATATATACATATAATGATTATATATAGATTGTTTCATCTATGAGTCAGCTGTATCACCCTGAATGCTGAATGATGAGCTAGCCATATCATTGAACCAGGTGATCGCATAGGACAAAAGTATTGGGCAAAAACAAATATATCCGCATGGGGCAAAGAACATCCACCGAATCCACCAGCTTTCTGCATCGATAGTACATTGAACGCAACAAATTCATCAGCATAGACAGCATAGATGTCCTTTTCCCATTGCTTAGTTGCTTACCAAAATGATAGTGAATTCGCAAACAGTCTTATTTCAAGCTGATCCTGAAACCGAGTTTGTTCAGCAATTCCTGCATGCTTTGGCCAATATCATCAAAGGTTATGAAAGATCATCAATAATTTACATGTTTTTTAAATATATATATATATATTTATATATATATATTTATATTATGCACACAATAGGTAAAGGATGATTTCCTCCAAAAAAAAAGCACTGGCGGTTGAAAGTTCAGGACATTTCCATCGGAGCCATCCTCACGCATCACGCGGGCCAACATGTTCTCCTCCGAAGCCTCCAGCCGAAGCACGCGGGTGGTTTTTGTACCTTGGCGGGTTCAACCAGGCTCCGGAGGCTTGGGGAAGATGTGGGAAAATATGGAATATCCCCAGTGATAAAGGGTTAAATGATGTTAAATGAATGGATTACTAGCTGGATTTCTTGGTGGATACCCTGTGGCATATTTTTCTTATGTTTTTTTTTGGTGCTACAGTAGTTGTAAATGGTGTATCTCATTTATTTGTTCTCCTGGGTCTCTGAGCTTATACTGGGGTTGTTTTTGCTGACGCCGCCTCTAACGACCCCATGCGGCGCCAGGCAGTTTGCTAATTTGCTAATTTGTGCAACGTTGCGTTGTTACAGGTCATATTTTGCATGTTCTTTTTTTGGTGGTTGTTTGGTCACCTGTCATATTTTGCATTTTCATTTGGGTGGGGGGTGGGGGGTGCAATAATGTTTTGTCGCTCTTCTTTTGGCAGGTGCTTCAAACTTTGTCAAACTTCTGTTTTACACGCCGTTGATGCTCCGCCTCGACAATTTTGTCTTGTAATTATCTAGCACGCTGTTGATGTTACGCCTCAAGTCTTTTGTATTGTGATTATCTCAATGTGCTGCGAACACTTTCATGTAACATCCAACACGCTCTTGGTGCTACTCTCTGAACACTTTCATGTAACATCAAACGCGTTTTTGGTGCTACGTTCTGAACACTTTCATGCAATATCTAATGCTACGCTCTGAACACTTTCACGTAACATCCAACAAACTCTTGGTGCTTCGCTCTGAACGCATTCATGTAACATCGAACACGCTGTGAACACTTTCATGGCCATCCAACACGTTGGCAAAGACTTGCAAGTGAAAAACAACAATAAACATACATTTTGTTTAACATATGGGAACCGAAAAAACATATTGCTGCCAATGTAAAATCATCAAAGCGATTACGACGTCATACAAATACCAACCGAATTGCAAGTCTACACAAAATGCTCTGGACACGAAACCCTGGAAGGGTTTGTGAAACAGAGACTTGGCAGCAGAAAAAAAATGACAATTAGCGGGGTCATTGCGGGCGGCTTGACCTTGTTTTTGGCATCCCTTGCTTGATGTGCTGATTTGCTCGGATTGTTCCAGTTGGCTGAGAACATGTTAAAAGACGTACCTGTCGGACATTGATTCACGGAAATTTACCGCAAGGAGGTCAGGGGGATGTTTATCACCACAAATTGGCCGTGACTGAGAATGGGGTATACCCCAAAATGGCCATTTAATAATGTAATTAGTCATTTAATTAGTGAGAAGATCAGTATAAACCATGATATACCTGTGATTTACTTTAAATTATCCAACTTGATCCATTAGGGGATGAGGAACTTGAGCACCGGCATCGACTCTCAGGGGAGATAGGGATATTGTTTGATCAACGTCGGGTCAAGTGACATGGCAGAACTTGGTCAAACCAAACACATCATTTAACTGAAACTGAAGAGGGCAGACACCTTGCCCGCCTTACACCAACATTGGCCCCCCGTCGCCGACCGCGTCGCCCAACTCTTGATGGGGGAAAGCCGCGCCCCCTGCCGTCACCGACGCCACCCACGCTGCTGCCCACCTGCGCCGCGCCGGGTTCGAGCCCCTGGCCTGGTCTGCCCTGCTCGCCGGCACCCCCGGGCCCTCCCCCCTGAGCACCCGCCCCTGGAAACCAACCCGGATGGCAACAGGCTGCCAGCCTAGCCTGCGACCAAGCCCAGTTTGAAGCGCTCTTACCAACCTACCCTGCCCACGAGCGCGCGCTGCTCTTGTCACAGGCTGGCCCACACGCGGCCGTTCCCTTCACGACGGCCCCCACAAACCCAGAATACACCCTCGACAACCCCCATTTCCGCATCCTGCTGCAACGGCGGCTGCGCCTCCCCCTCGACCCCGCCCCGGCCCGATGCAGCTGCGGCGGCGCCCTTGGCCCGCACGGAGATCACCGGCCGCGTGCCCTCCGGACACCTCCGTGTTCGCGCGGCCCCGATGGAACGCACCTTAGCCCGCGTCCAGCTGGCAGTTGACGCCACCCTGACCGCCGCCACGGTCCCCGCGGCGATGCCGTTCAGCGCGCCACCGCCCGAAAGCGCACCACCACCTACCCTGAGTTTGCCCAAAACAGGCGGTGTCAGCTAGTGGTTGTTGCGATGGAAACCGGCGGCCGTTGGGGCTCCGAGGCGGTCGACCTCGTGCGCGCCCTCGCACACGCCAAAGCCCGGGGCACCCCCCCGTGGCTGCGGCCCACGACCGTTGGGGCGTACATCCACCGATGTGCCGCCCTCCTCGGCATCGCCACCCAGCGCGCGTTGGCGGCGTCGTTCCTCGACCCCCTTCTCCCCCGCCCTCGACACCGTCGATGGGCCCCCGCCCCCCCGGTCACGATCTGGTGGCGGAAACCCGCTACACCGATCCCCCTTCCCCCAGCCGACTCCCCCCAACACGGGGGGGGTAGCGGTCTCACGCGCAGAAACTAGTGCGGGATATAAAAAAAATCATCCCCCCCAAAAAAAACACTCCATTATCAGGACCCCCGGGTGTCCGCCAAAGCATGCCAAAGCCATTTTTTTGGACAGCCTAAATGCCTGCAAGGATATGCAATTACAGGTTCCTGATTTTGGAGAGGGACAATTTTGTAGTTGGCTGAAACTGTAGGTTCCTCATTCTGTAGAGGTTTTAGTGTTTCTGAAAATCATAAAAGTGCACCAAAAAAATTGGATTGGGTGCCCTGATTTTGTAGAGAAAACCCCTTGCCATATTTGTGGCAGGTTCCTGATTCTGTAGAGGTCCGTCAAAACCATGTTTTTGGACAGCCTAAGTGCCTACAAGGGTGTGCAAGGACAGGTTCCTGATTTTGTAGTGGGAGCATGGCTGAAACTGTATGTTCCTCATTCTGTAGAGGTTTTGGGGTTTGTCAACATTCATGTGCATAAATATTTACAAATTATATAGATTTTACAAAAACTGGAAATGTAGAACAGGAGTTGCCTCTACATTTTTTTTTTTACGTTTCAGGGTTTGCAGGTGAGACGGGGAGACCAAGGTTCTTTCACATCATCCCTCTACAAAATGGATCCTTGTATTTTTGATGGTTTTCTTTCTTCCAAGCAGCAATTCTGCTTAAATGCTTGCTCATGCCAGGCTCCCCACTCTGTAGGGGCCAGTGTTTCTGAAAATCATAAAAGCACCAAAAAAACTGGATTGGGTGCCCTGATTTTGTAGAGAAAACCCCTTGCCATATTTGTGGCAGTGGCAGGTTCCTGATTCTGTAGAGGTCCGTCAAAACCATGTTTTTGGACAGCCTAAGTGCCTACAAGGGTGTGCAAGGACAGGTTCCTGATTTTGTAGTGGGAGCATGGCTGAAACTGTATGTTCCTCATTCTGTAGAGGTTTTGGGGTTTGTCAACATTCATGTGCATAAATATTTACAAATTATATAGATTTTACCAAAACTGGAAATGTGGAACAGGAGTTGCCTCTACAAAATATTTTTTTAGGGGAGACCAAGGTTCTTTCACATCATCCCTCTACAAAATGGATCTTTGTATTTTTGATGGTTTTCTTTCTTCCAAGTAGCAATTCTGCTTAAATGTTTGCTCATGTCAGGTTCCCCACTTTGTAGGGGCCAGTGGTTCTGAAAATCACAAAAGTGCACCAAAAAAAGGGGTTGGGTGCCCTGATTTTGTAGAGAAAACCGCTTGCTAGATTTGTGGCAGGTTCCTCATTCTGTAGAGGCCTGGGGCGCCAAAAGTCAGATTTGGCTCTACAAAATGGGGACACCCAACCCCCCCAGGTCATTTTTTGGGATAATAAAAAATCTAAGATTTTTCGCATTTTTTCGCACTACATCACTGACTCTGCCCCCATAAAACACCAACGCATCTCTTGGGCATGTTCCCTGCGCCGCGACTCGCGTTTCGCTCAGGACCCCCCGCGAGTCAAGCGAGGCATGGTATCACACATTCGGGGGCCGGTGGCTGCGCGGGGGAAGATCGTAGCCATGGCAGAGAATTGGTCGGAGGGTGATGAGCAGGAGCTGGTGGGAAGGCAGTGGGAATTATATGGAGGTGATATCGGGTATAACCGAAAAGGATGATAGGATATATATAAATGATATTCATGGATATTAATGGGATGATCCTCCAAATGGAATATATTATATATACAGTAATGGGATATAAAGTATTAGAATAAATTGGCGAAATTTTGGGATCAATTATTGATTCAGCCAACCATACTTGGAGAAAAACAAACATACTTGAAGGATAATCCCAGTTGAATTGTACCTTGGGGCTGTGAGTTTTGCCACAGATGGGATAATCCTGGGGATTTCTGAGGCTGGGCCACGGTCAGGTCAAGACGATTGTGTTGTTTTCGGGTGTCATAAGCGATACTGCAAGAATTAGGTCGCCTTGATCTGGGTTGGGCCGCGATCAAAATTTATGGTGCTGGGGGCTGGGGGATGGTGCAATCTTGACATTTGTGGAGTTAATGATATCTTCTTGCACTTGGCCTGAGTTCAACTCATTTGGCGAAGCATGGCAGGGACTGGAATCAAATGGAACCCTGGAACAGAAAAAAAACACACATGTGGCTAATACCGATGACAGGCAGAGTGACTTCCCGTGCTGTTTCCATAAACTGTCCACATCCCCAAGACCACGAAGTTTGGTTTCTTCAACATCCCACAGTTCTTTTGTTTCTGTTTGAGTGTCCCGAAATGAAGTATCACACCCATTGTGTTGCCATGTTGAGCCAGGAACACACATGAAACACTCGACTTAATGAATTTTAGTGCCCACTTGTAAACTAATAGATGCGGAGTTTACCTATTTGTAGATCATGTTCCTAGGGAAACCGTGGGTTTGTCCCATATTTGGGTACCCAAATTCCTTCCAGTGAAAACAGGAGGTTGGTTCAGATGACGCGCCGGAATCCCCACCAGAATCAGAAGGAAGGCGCAGAAATGGGCTACGGAGTATTGTACTGTGTGTCTACCCTCTGGTAATTTAACATAGCTATTGAAAATTGCCATTTAAATAGTTGATTTACCCACTAAAAATGGTGATTTTAAATAGCTATGTTAGTTTACCAGAGGGTATCAAACATTGTATGTGACATATTTATGTATCATGTAATGTATGTAATGTATGTCATTGTATATGGTTGCCAAACAAATGAGATGTACATCCAAGAACCACAACTTGCGAAAGAGTAGCTGCAATCAGATTAGAATCGCAGAGGCGGGGCTCTCAGTCAGATGCTCTTCTGTCCTGGTGGAAACAGTCTACCCACCTTCACCCGAGCCCCTCGGAAGCGGCCAGGCGCATGGTTCACCAGGTGCGAGCTGTGGACTTGAAATTGGCTTGGCCACTCTGGTTCAAATCAGGTTACCATCGCCTCATGGAGCCCTTTACAATATTGCGACAAATTGAGATTCAACAAATTTTAGAGGAGTAGTAGTTAGTAGTAAGTAGTAAGTAGTAAGTAGTAAATAGTAGGTAGTAGGTGGTAGTAGGTAATAGTAGGTAGTAGTAGGTAGTAGTAGGTAGTAGCAGGTAGTAGTAAGTAGTAGGTAGTAGGTAGTAGGAGCAGTAGGAGCAGTAGGAGCAGTAGGAGTAGTAGGAGTAGTATGAGTAGTAGGAGTAGTAGGAGTAGTAGTAGCAGCAGGAGTAGTAGTAGTAGTAGTAGTAGGAGTAGTAGGAGTAGTAGGAGTAGTAGGAGTAGTAGGAGTAGTAGGAGTAGTAGGAATAGTAGGAATAGTAGGAGTAGCAGCAGTAGTAGTAGTAGAAGTGGTATTAGTGGTAGTAGTTGTAGTAGTTGTAGTGGTAGTAGTGGTAGTAGTGGTAGTAGTGTTAGTAGTGGTAGTAGTAGTAGTAGTAGCAGTAGTAGCAGTAGGAGTAGTAGGAGTAGTAGGAGTGGTGCTGGTAAAGATCATTGCAGGGACCTGTATGTTAGTTTTGTGGGTGGGTGAGTTTCACGCCAAATTTGCAGATGAGCACGTGAATGCAATGCACAGCTCCACTGGCTGGCGAATTCGAATTGAGTTTTGAACGACATGGTTTTCTATTAGGAGAGGCTCACATCATTAGCAGATGCTTGTGGTAGGTCGTGTTTCGACAAACTTTTCACTGAATCTCACTTAGGATGTGGCTGACGCTGCCGGGGAGTCAGCATCAAACACCCCAATGGATTGTAATAGTTTTTTGCGGGCGTTGATAGCTGTAGCCACTGTAGCCAAGGGTTTTGACCCAAACCTGCATCAGCATCGGACAATTCTACTTGACATTACTTGACCAAAAGATCCGGGGGCAGAGGATCCAAAAGTTCTGCTGATCACTTTGCCTCACCATGTGAAATGACCAAGGCAAATGCATGCGAAAGAATGTCACCAGGACAGACTTATCATGGCAGTCTCATGATGACAGATAGTAAACGTGGACAGTGGACACAGTTTTCCTCGGGTTTCTTTGTGCTGTAAACTTGCTGGTATATTGTTTTAAACCTAGCATCCTGGTCGACAAGAGATGGGTTGTTCAAGCGCCCACCAGGTGAACCAGAGTTGTTGGTTGATATTTACTTTTTTTAAAACAAATAAGATGGCTTAAGTATCCCTGCCGCCACTGCCCCCATGCAGACGAAGACTGTATGTTTGTTCTTTTATATCCCTTATATTTATACTTACTCGGCTGGGTTGCTTTTCCCTTCGCTGGGTGGCTCAACCGAAGGAGCTTTCTGAAGCGGATGCCACCAGACCGGTGTTCCGCTTGCTGTATCGCAGCAGGGCCGATCAGGCCACACCCACGACGCCATGAGTTTGGGGGCTGGAAGATTACTTTCCTGTAATCTAGCAGCCTCCTTAGTAATAAGCATGATTGATGCATTCTATGGGTTTATAGCCTCCTCAGAGTTTCCTTGATTGGTTTGTGTTTTCCTTGGATTTCCTTTTCCTTTGTTTCTCCCTTGGAAACCAAAGGAAACCAAAGGAAACCAAAGGAAACCAAAGGAAACCAAAGGAAAATCATAGAATCCACCCAGTCCCAAACCAAAGGAAACCAAAGGAAATCAAAGGATACCAAAAGTAAAATTCTATATATATATATATAATCTACATAAGAAGAACTGATTTTAGCTAGTTCTTTTGTGTTTCTTGTTGTTTCTTTTGGTTTCCTCCCACAATTAAAAACAGCACAGTATTTTGGTGCAACTCATGCGTTGGAAAGGTTGACACTGCTAGCTTTTGGTCCATACTTTGCTGGAAATGTGAAACACCTGTTACAGAAAACACATTTGTACTGATAGGGTCAGAAAAGAAAACACAAGAAAACAAGAGGTTTTCGAAGGAAAAGGCAGGGTGATCAGAGGAGAACATCGCATCATCTAAGCTAGCCCTGCTGTGAAGAATGCATGTTCCAGTGATGTTACTAAAGAGTTCCTATGATCTAAAGATTGGTGTTTTTTAGTGTCGATTCTCTTGGTGAGGGGATGGCAAACGTGTAAACCACCCATGTCTTTGGAGGTTTGTATTTGACCATACGAGGCACACGAACTGCTTTGTCGCATGGAACCCGGTACTCACCCAACTTGACCAAACGGTAAGCAGAAGGGTCTTTCCCTCTTGGTTCTTGTTTACGTGTGAATTTGGGCCGAACTATGATCTCTTCTCCCGTTATTATTGTTTATCATAGATCAAACAGGTTGTTGTTATTGACTTTCCACATCCGTTTGCTTTTGCATGTTTTCCCGCGATTTGTGCGCGTCCTGTATTGTAAAAAAGGGAACGGACGGCAAGGAAGGCTTGCAGATTGTTTGGGTACACCTCGCTGGTGATATGACTGCAAGATTTGCGGTGATTCTGTGGCCAAAGGGTTTTGCCAAAGGGCTGACTTCCAATGGCAGAAGCGCACATCTTGTACTGTAATACTACGATACTATGGTATCATTTGGGGATGTAGCTAGCATGTAGTAGTGGTTCTTTGATGTTGTTTCTTGATGTTTCTTGCATATATGATCATGCATAGTCACACAGTGCCTTATGTGTTCATGCTCCCGCGGTACAAAATCATGCGGTGAATCATGCGCCAATCTTGGCTCACCGTTGGGTGCTGGAGGTGTGGGAACTGTTGGATGATCAGAACTCCAGCACGGCAGCGTGGTTCATCTCACAATTCCTGAAGCTGCACCTCAGCCGCGATGAGTGGACCACTGGGCGGTGGGGACCACTAGCTGCCATAGTCCCTAATTATCAAACCAAAAAAGGGGCATAAAGTATAAAGTGGCACAATGGATCCCGCAATCGGGTCCACACCTCGAATTGGATGCTCCAACATTGTCCCCCTGTGAGTCATGGGGTGAGATGGCGTGACTTCACCCCTCATCCCCTCATCACTAGATGTGCACAACTAATCCTTCCATTTTTTCGATTTTCCAGAGTGAACCTTCACTTCAAATATATAAAAGTTTACTGTAGTTTAATGTAGATTACTAGTGTCTACCCCGAGGCAAAAGATGATTTCTACAGGAAATAGATGGAATGGAGCCCATTCCTTCCGACACGGTGGAATGGAGTGGATTTTTTCATTGGTCCCCGCTTTGTTTGCGGATCTCTACTTTGAACATGGCATGGGTCCAAGATTCCAAGTATCTCAGAAGGTATGTGGATCCATAGGGATAGACTGCTATTGTTCGACCCCCGTTTGGTTCCAGTGATCATGTTTTCTTTAGACAGGTTGGTATGGGTTCAATCCAAGTATCTTGCAATCATGGCTCTGTTCATTTTGGGGATGTCAACCAAATGGGAACAGGTGAATTGATTCGCCACCATGTGTTGGTTGGATGTGATGTTCAGTGCTGTTCAACAATAGTTTTTCCACATTGTACCACAGAATGACCATACCATACAATAAATCATATGTATTTAATTGAATTATATATATATAAATAATTAATTATAAATATTACACATTGGAGAGAGAGAGATATATATATATATAGATGGACAGATAGATCGATAGATAGATCCATCGATAGATCGACTAGTAGAAAGATAGATCGATAGATCGATAAATCGATAGATGGATAGATAGATCGATCGATAAATCGATAGATCGATCGAATGATCGATCGATAGATAGATAGACATACAGATAGATAGGCATACAGATAGATAGATAAGATAGAAAGAAAGAAGGAAAGAAAGATAGATAGTATGATAGATAGATAGATAGCTAGATAGCTAGATAGCAAGATAGCTAGATATCTAGATAGCTAGATAGATAGATAGATAGGTAGATAGGTAGATAGATAGATAGGTAGATAAATAGATAGATAGATAGATAGATAGATACATTAGATAGATTAGATAGATTAGATAGATTAGATAGATTAGATAGATTAGATAGATTAGATAGATTAGATAGATTAGATAGGTTGGTTGGTTGGTTAGTTAGTTAGTGAGTGAGTGAGTCAGTCAGTCAGTCAGTCAGTGACGAGGTTTGTGATGCTCAGCGTGGCCGTGACGAACTTCCAAACCACCGAGGAACGAACGATGGACAAAGCCACCGCTATTGCACCTGGGTTCTACAGAAAACCAGGGGCTTTGACCCCGAAAGATAGGGGGTCCGGTTAAACATGTTAAAATGTTCCCTGGATCTAATTTTCAGAATTGGAGAACTATGTTTGAGAGGTTTTGAAGTCATGGATACGGGAAAATGGGGTTCCACTGGTTGATTAATTTTAGCCACATACATCTAGATGTTTGGTATTTGGGGGATTGATTAGATGGATGTATCGCATTTATCCCACCAGTTGTCAACATTTGCAGGGAATCAAAAAAGAACAGTAAGATTATGGGAAAATCATCAGGAGTCAACTCGGAGTCAACCTAAACTGGTGATATATAAATCTCCGTTACTTTGTTGTGTTGTCCCATAGGATAGCATCCAAGGTACTGGTAGTGTGGGAGGGCTCAAGTCACAGGAGCCAAACTCCCACCGCAGTTGAACTCCGATCGGGATATGACCCCCTATTTGTATAAGAGACGGACGAGATGGGACGTTGCTGGGACATCAAACCACCATAAAGATGTAACTACCCTATTAATATAAGTTGGTTTATAAGTTGGGTTCATTAATGTGCTATAGAGCTATATATAATTAGTTCGATTTTCCATAAACCCTTAGTACCTATAGCCTAGCTATAAACAAAGTTAGCAAAGTATGGTTGACCGTTTGGTATGGGTATTGCCCAATATCACCCACCACCTGTGTGCCAGGGGAAGTTGTTTTGCATTGCATGAGCGATTGATCCAACCCGAGCACATTGACCAATTGGAAACCGCTATATCAATGGAAATACCATATGAGGCAAGTGGAAAACCAATTGGCAACCACTACCATAAGTTTCATATGTTTGCATAAACCATATCGAAGCTGAATTCAGGCTATAGTTGGTTCAGATGTGTGGCAATAATATGCCTTTTGCAGGATGCCGAGAGGGTAAGTAAATCTCTTACATCTTCCAATATAGGCACACTCCTTGGCTAGCCGACCACTCCAAATTCATGGTGGTCAATGATCATACCCTGGCTGGTTCCGGGACCAAATCAGTCATTTGTGATTGAGCATCATTTGGAAAAAGGAAATAGTCACAGGAATCCCCGATTGTATGTGTGAGGTTTCCATCACGCATTGGGATTCCCTAGTCATACCACGATGGATGGTGGCAAAAGCAACCATGAATGACCACTATCCGCAGGTGTTGTTTGTTCCTGCAGTTTTGCAGTCTAAGCATTGATATTATATATATATAGATGTCATTTTGCAAAAAAAAAACTCAGTTTGGTACCATGCCATTAGTTACCTGGAACGGTTGTGAATAAACGATACTAAAAGGGCAGAACTGAACCCCTTCTCTGCATAAATCAATAATATTTTTGGAAACTGACATTTGCACAAACACACGCACACAAACACGTTTTTGGTGCATCACTTGATGATGTGAGTCCCATTGAGCCAGTTATAGCATTACCCCAATGTAGCAATCAGCGATCCCCATTCGATCAGTCAGCATAACTTCCCATAAACTAGCAACCAGAATTGATGTGAACAGGTCTTTGAATTCTTTTTCGATGCGGTTTTCCTGCTGGAGTTTCTGCTTCGATTGTTGTCAGCTCCCTCGAAGAAACGATCCTTGGGCAGAAATTTGTGTTTGATTTTGTGGTTTATTGCCATGAAATGATTTGGACAACGAGGCTTTACAGATCTTTACAGCCTGCAATCTTGTTGCGCCTTATAATGGGACAAGCCCACTTCAAGGTTTCCAATGTTTCAGTGCCACAGCTTGGACAGTCGACCTGAAGAGTTGCAGATTTGTTTTCCTTTGGGGAGATTCAAAGTTGAGTAAGGTTTGACAGATGCAAAAAAAACATAGGTGGCTTTTGCTTGGCTCTTGTTCCATGTTCAGGAATTGTTTTGTCAATTTTTTAAAATCTTAAATCCTGGTGCCCAGCATGCATGTTTATTTGTTGGTGCCCGGGCCTACCACCTCCCATTCGCAGCAGTGCTTCACACTTCGAGCTGTCAGAGTGATGCCAGCCGCTGATCCGGCTCTGAGGTTATATCAGAGACTGCGCGGCATTTAGATCCAGCTGAAATGACAGTGAAACAACGCCCTAACAGACAGGTAAACCCAATGGGTAGCAATGCCAACAAAAATAACGCCTCCAGAAACAGCATATATATATATATTTATATAGATAGATAGGTAGGTAGATAGATAGATAGATATGAACAACGTACCATTCATGTAGTGTTTCCCGGGGAAGGCATGTGTTTTCCATATCTATGTGAGTTTACCGGTGGGGGTATCTACCACTAGTGGGGGTATCTACCACTAGTGGGGGTCATGATAAACACCCAATGAATCCCACTGGTTGGTTTTTCTGCACTGCAGGGTCAACCTTGGATGGTTTAGTAGTGTAATCATTTGCTATATAGAATTCTGAACATATACTAACCAGCTTCAAATTATGGCAACCTTGAAAAAGACATTTCCTACATAAATATGTGGTCAGTTTAACATAGTTCTATTTTTTTTGGGCGTATACCTGTGGCATTCAGACGCACAAAAAGTCCCAACAAATGAGGGAAACAACAGTTGTCAACATGTAAAACTGTATGAGTGCTGGCCAATCATGAGATGGGGAACAGGGGTTTGTAAATGCCCAAATGTCCAGCTTGGGGTCTCTCGATGTCAGCTGTTTGGCATGTTTGGCAAAGAAATGTGCTCCAAACCTGCCGAATTTTCCACCAGTATGTTCGTTTCCAAAAGGGTATATATATATATGTGTGTGTGTATTTGTTACCATTTTCTACTTGTTCGATTGTTAAAACAAGGGTCTCGTTTACATGCTGAGCAGTAAAACATGGATCTCCATAGCCCTTGGCCCAAATTGGCCCAACAACCCTTACCATATCTTACCATGGTGACCATTTGGGTGTGGGCGTTTGCTCAAGGCCATCGACCGAGGTGATCCATTGAATTGGGCTGATATGTTGTGTGCCCTGGGCCTCCCGTGTCGCATTGCTTTTGTGTGCCTCACCGCAAGGCCGACGACGGTGCTGGAGCAACGTGAGATTCTTCGTTTAGATCATCAACTTTGGCCCCATGAATGGGATAACTATATGACTATAATTATATGACTAATATATGTAAGTATATGTACGTATATATATATATTAATGTGTATTATAGTTTTTTAAAACTTATTTATCCATATATACCTTTCAGGCCAGTTCAAGATCTGTTTTCCAGAGCCTGGATTTTTTTAAAGCTAGTTTGATGCATTTGCGGTCGCATCTCAATTTGACACCTCCAAATCGTATGTGTTTAAAAAAATCTTAACATAGCTGTCATATCATACTGTTTCATCAAGATAACGATTACACTGCCCATTTGAGGGTATATTCTCCATTTTGAGACAGGCAAATCCCCATTTTTTGGACCTATCCCAGTATATCCCATAGTACCCCTCAAGATGGGCGCTTACTGCAACATATATAGTCATCCTCGAGTGGATCGACTTGTGGGTATGTCAAAGAAAACTCATTAAAAATGGAATATGGTTGAACATTCCCTTATTCATCCATGTTCTATCTACTTCCGAAGTATCTAAAAAGATAGAACAGAAAGTCATCACTATTTTGGGTCGGATTTTCCCTATCTTTTGGCGGGTTACTTGTATATCCCATAGTGCCCAGGGGACCGTCCTGGGTTGTGGTGGTCTTGTGCCTCCAAGGTCGGGAAGTGGTTTCTTCAATAGTCAGGTCCGACAAACATCCGACTGGAACCTAGGTGGGCTGCCGGGCTGCCGGGCTGCGGGGCTGCCGGGCTGCCGGGCTGCGAGCCATCGATACTATATGTGATTGTTTTATAATTCCTTTCTTGTTACTTATTTAGATATTAAGATTTTTATGAACACATTCATTATATATATACATATATATATATATATATGTGTGTGTGTTTGTATATGATGTGTATGTTCTGTATATTTACATGTATATATATATATATGTATACACACCTCGCTGAGGATGTGAACTGATATTGTTTTATATGATCTCGTCTTTCTGTGGGGTTGAAATTTGTTAACTCCCCTGCACGCCTCAAGCCGCTGCAGCAACTGAAAGTCCCGATCACAAAATACTGTATCTACGTTTTGGCAACCCAAGCAGGTTTCTCCATTTAACAACGTGTGTTTCCTTCGCTTCAACATGGAGGTGCCCAAGTGCCACGAGTGTCATGTTGACTATTTTGTCCTTTTAACTAATGTGGCAAACCCAAACACATAAACCCACAATTTGGATCCATTTGGGGATTATATTTACCAGCGTATGGCATGGTTTATTATTGGGTTTCCCACATTGTATACAGGTGGTCCATTGAACTTTTAAGTGGAGCCTAGCGCAGGAGAAGTTGGCTTGTTGTTTTTGCTGCCGTTGATTCGCTTGATGAAATTACTGCGACTCAGCTCCCATTGAGTTCTGAAGTTGTTACCCTCCTGTTAAATGACATGGACGTGGATAATCCAAGCCAAACCATGGTTTTTCAGTTTTCCATATATATATATGTATACATCAGTTTAAGTTTTGGGGAAGGACCGGTGTTGATGGTTTAGGCCTCATGGGCTCATAGAACAAAACAATTGGAAGATGGCAAATTGAAAGGAACGGCCTGTCTGCAGACCTGTGGATGGCACAAATTTGTTTCACATCTTGGAACTGTTTCGTTTTTTTGGGAAAAGGTCCGTTGGAGCACTCCAATCCCCAACCGACAGCGTTAGGTGACGTTCTAGCGCGCGTCATGCAAGGCATGTCAATCTGATAGCCTTTTCAAAAGCTTCAAGTTGTTTGTTGGCAACCACAGTGTTCTTCAATTCTTACATAACGATCATAACGTAACATGCACGTGACATACACATGGCAAATTTTTGAGTGCCCGAGATCCCACAGATTGCAGTGGCTTTTGGGACTGAGGCGCTACTTCGAGTCCATTCCGCTGCTCATCGATGCCTGTTACAAGTCATTCGAGGACCCCAAAAACGGTGTGAAGTTGGCGGCCATGAAAAAACATGGCGACCCCCAAGTTTGGATCCTGATTTTTTGGAGAAAAAAGAGGGCTCAGGACTCAGGACAGGGAAGAATTTGGATAATTAATTAATTGTCTTACTTTCAGTTTGAGGAGTATTTGAGTAGTTCTTGGAGAGGGTAGGGTAGAGAAGTTCAATGATAAATTGGTCATCAAAGGGTTGGTTTTTTCTTCGCTTGTAAGCGCGATCTTCAGGTGTCCTCCAAGTTGTATAGCTCGAATTGTCATAATAGATTGCACTTCAAAACAGCTGGGGCTGCGGGCCGAATTACAGCAGAACTTGCAGCCAATCCAGGTTGCAGGCAAAAACAACATATCAACGGGCACCCTCTTGGTAGTTTAACATAGGTATGGAAAATGGCCCATGCATTTCATCGTACTTGATCATGTATAGACTGTGCAGATGATTGTCTGAACAAAATAAGAAACGTTGCCCTGTTCTATCTAGCAATATTGCACCCAAAAGAACGGCCTGATTGTGTAGGTAGATATGAATACGCGTACAATCTCATTCCAAGAATCGATTGCAGGGACTATTCACGTGAAAGCATGAGGTTTGACAGTCAGTGTTTCCACATATGGCACAACTCTGAATTTGATGGGGTAAATCTCCGCAGGCACTGCCGCTTCTCACATATATCATGGCGTTGATCACCTTTTGGTCCGCAACAGGGATCTACTTGGTGGAAAGCAGAGGCTGGTGCTGGAAGTGATGGGCATTTGTTGATATTCTTGTCTTCTTCTGAACAGGGTGAAGACACGGTTTACAATATTTTAGCTGGGATTGACCCGGCTAAGACCTCAAGCAAAGTGAACATGGTAGAGTGTAAGCAAAGCACACCTAAGCAGCAAAATGGAATATTTCTAGCCACATGAGTGATATATGATATGAGGCTTTATTTCATCTCAGTTATAACGCCTTCAGAAGCCATGGCAGGCTGGGTCCGTCATTGAATGATAGCAAATGAAATGATAGGAACTTTGACAGGCAATCCGTGGCATTGTTGATCTAGAATCTAGCTCAACCCATGCCATGCATCCCAGAAACAATATGACTGGAACTGGAACCGCTCCAAGATATCTAAAAAATAATCCGAATACGTGCAATACCCGACGCCAAGCAAAAGGGATTACGCCATATTACACCACAACTTCATAGTTTTTGTTTTTTGATAATGTTCCCTGGAAAATCAACCGCGTGTTTGCTACACGCCAGCAATTTCCCATCCTGTCGTTTTGACTGTGCCCTGAGAAGTGAGGAGTCATCATGCAGGTCAACGAAATGCTAAATGGACATATTATTGGAATTGCATGTTGCATCCTTCTTGTTGACATGAAGTTTGATACCTTTTTTGTAAATTAACGCGGCTGGCTGGAAAATCCCCCGCAAATGGAGTTTTCTACCTGGGAAAATCATGTATCAATGGGGGATTTTCCAGCAAGCCACCTTTGATGACCGGACGGTAGATCACTTTGAATGTCACAACTAGACTTTCAAAAGCATTGGATTTTTGACATGGTGCAGTTCTTATCGAAGCGAGGGAGTGCACCCCGCTGCACAGCTGCGGTCACCAACACTTGGCCAAGTATAATCGATGTAATTAGTTCATGCCTTTTGTTCCTGCACAGGAAGATGTCCTTTTCTGTAAGTGCCTCGAATCCCCCCCGAAAGTATCGTAAACAGAAGAATTGATAGTGGATTTGCTATGATTTGCTCGTACATCTACTACACACATCTGTACACACCATGGAATCCCAATAAATCACGGAACACTTGCAGGACTTCCCTCAGAAAAAACACCGCTCAGGCAGTGTCCCCAGCATGCAGCACTCATTGTGGCTGTCTTTGGTGCCGCGCCGCAGTTTCTGCGTCATGTTGCTGTGATATTGTGATATTGTTGCAAGATATTGCAAGTAATATATTGGCTCTGTTTGAGGTGACATGACGGCATGCCCCGACAGGACTCGCGCGGTAAGGTGGTTTTGCGCCTTGTGCGGATGCTACGGTGATCATGGGGTTGGGGTGGGGTGGGTTGGGGCCAATAACGTCACTTGCACTGCGCACTTAAACGATACTACGCTGTCGGCGCTTCTGCACGCTGCCCATGTGACGCTGTCAGAGTTGCAGGCCAACGGTGTGAGATTACGCTCTCGGTGTGGGATTGAACGGTGCAAGCCAAAGGTAATTATCTGGCGTGTTGCCGGTGCCGGTTGATTGGTTTTTTTGGCCAGTTCAAAAAGAAAGCCCTCGCAAAATAGGTTGCCCTTTTGACTTGCACAAAATGTTGTGCTTGCTGTCGTGCTTCTGGCAACTAACCAGCAGTTGCTGCTTGGCGCTTGGAATGCTATAGTTTGGAAAAAAGCGGACGCTCGCGTCTTGCCAAAAGCTCAACCGAATGACTTTGATGCCAAAAGGGTCATGAATGGACCAAGCTGAAGGTTGCTTGGAAAACTTAGGCCGACCCTGGCGTTCGCAAACAGTTGTGTGGTGTTTGGGGAATCACAGTTGGATAGGCTGTGGCACCACTAGCACCAGTGCAAAAAGTGTCAAAAGCCAGGGAACAAGACAAGTCAAAGGGATTTGTAAATGACACAAGATGACACAACAAAATGCGTAATTATCTGTTCGATGAAATTGAGGTTTCGATGACACAAATCTGCTGTCAATACTAACAATAGTACGAGTCCTGTCTGTGCGGTACCTTGTTTGACAGTATATAACATTTGGTACTAAAGAACCCATAGTTGTCCATCATGTTCCCTCTTATGTGCTGGCCAGATCTGGCTGGTTGTTACCCCACGCACCTATGGATGTTTTCCCATATAGGTCGCGGCAGACCAAGTTTTTTTTGCCTTGGAATGCTTGATGTATTATATGTATATGTATATATATAATATATATGTGTGTGTATGTGTATATAAATATATATATATATATATTATATATACATATAATATAAGATGATTATAAGATGTCCTTTGGGATCTTTTGTGTGACCACAGTGTTAGGTTGATTTTCCTCAGTTTCTTGACTTTCAAATGTCACATATTTCCATGGGGAAGTAAACTGCATGTCGTGCCTTTTCGCACCTTGCTTGACAGATAGATCAGGGCATGCCAACGAACACTAAAGATCCGCCTTTGGAAATGGGTTCCCCTTTGCCATTGCCCCATACCTAGGCCTTCCGCAGGCCGTTTTTTCAGCCCGAAACTGTTCAGGCTGATATTTTAGCCCGAAGGGAATCTTTTCGCCTGGGGTGTTTTTTTCTGCCCGATGGTGTTTTTAGTGATTTTGATGATGTTTGGTTAAGATGCCCACTAACACTATATACAGTATTGTTGGGATACCATGGGGTAAAAACCACACGGATGACAGCGTTAAAGAAGTTTCCTGTTTTAAAAAACATGAATTTCCGCCCGAAAAAAAAAAAATAAAATTTCAAAACCAGAAAAAAAAAGCGAACATCACCAACAGAGCATTTCTTTTCACCTGGATCGTCCACCAGGATCTTATCAGAATACCTCAAAATATTGACAAAATCACTTTCCGCCTGAGGTTTCCTTTTCTGCCCGGAAAGTCCGCAGGCTGATATTTGAGAAAAGGCTGAAATTAAGTTCGTGATAGATAATCCACCAAATAGTTTTGCTACGATTTGCTTAAGCATTCTGGGTCTACATACCTCAAATTGCTGTTTGTTTTGGATTATTGGAAACTTTGCGCTGTACAGGCTACGTGGGAAAATGTCAATATTGTAAATATTGTTTGCCTCAAAATGTTCATTGGACAGCTTGCAAGTGACAGATCGGTGAACCTGTCTTAGGACATCAAAAGAATTGTTACCGGAGATATGTTCCAACGAGTTTTGCCAGACCATTTCCGTAAAGTTCATTTGGCACACCAAAATTCTGAGGTGACCATGACGACGGTGGGGTACGGCGATTACTATCCCACATCAATCGCAGGCTACTTTATTGTCTCCGTTCTGACCATTGTCAGTGCTACTTGGAGGAGGATGATTCAAGGATGGTTCTGTCATGAGTTCTGACATGTCAAACCAGCAAACTAGCATCATGTTGAGATGGGAATTGAAGCATCGTCACTTGGTATCCGGTGGTTGCTTAGTTTCATTGCATATAAGCAAACATGTTCTATATACAGTCTGAAACGGGATAGTGCTCCCCAATACACGCATGCACACACATGTGTACAACTGTGTACACATGTATACACATGCAGCTGAAGGAGTCTCGGACCCCCATCGATTATTCTGACAGCGGGGTTGATCCCTTTTTTTGTTCTAAGGTTCTGTTCTTGGCCCTTCCAGTTGGCATCATTGGAAATGAGTTCACTTCGTGCTGGCAACAGCGGACACGAGTCCCGCGCTGAGAATTGCTGGTGCAGGGCCTTGTGACCATGGAACCTGGTGAGCCGGAAAAGGCACACGGAATTAAAAGGTTGTGGATGCTCACACACCGCCACTTACCATTTTTCAGGGCGCATCACTAGAACCAATATCCCATCAACCTCCCATATTCACATGATCCTGTGTGTTGAGCATTCCTTGAGAATTCCTGGGAGGCTTTGATGTAGTGAGCATGGATAGGATCCCGATTTTCTTCCAATTTTTTGAGCTTAACTACTAGCTGGTATTGCATCCATTTTTCTTTTTGTATGGAGATTTTTTTCCAACCCCCGACGTGTATTGAAGGGCAACTTCCAACAAAACAGCCTAGGATATCCTAGGATGTTATTCCTCCAACGTTGACCAACGTTGATGTTCTTTTTGTTTTATTTCATTACATTATCGTTGCATATGGTTCCTCTTGCTAACAATGATAAGACATAAGACATGATAAGAAAGCGCCACTTGTGTGAATGATTATGATCAAATTGATTTTGAGCACAATATGCATGCACTTTGTCAATCTTTGTTAGGGGACCCAGTGAAAGTATCGATTCTTCCAAGATTTGCCAAGCAATAACAACCTCAAGCCCAAGATTGTGATTTATATTGCCTGTGGCAAGCTGCGGCAGCGGGGCACATTTTTGGTGGCAGCGCCTGTAAGAGGCTGGGCGTTTTTGAAGGTTTTCTTCCATTGGTTTGCTTCGTTTGGTCACTTTTGGGGTGGGGTTGGTTGGGGGTGGGTTGGGACAATAACGTCCTTGCACTTGCACGCTTTGATGCTACGCGATGCGAAGGTCCTTTCCTGCTACGTCATAAGGTTCGGGTGGGGTTGGTTGGGGGGTGGGTTGGGGCAATAACGTCCTTGCACTTGCACACCTACTTGGTGCTACGTCGGCTGCGTTAAGTCAAACACTTTACTTGATGCTACGTCATGTTTTCACCCAACTTCATGCACTTTCGGCAGCCACAACGTTTGACATGCCGGAACGCGAAAACAGTCCGAAGTGCTGCACTGCAGGGGTTGCCGAAAACCACTTCGATCGGAGACCCTTACAAGGTTTTTGGACGTGTTGCTGATGTCAAGTTCCAAAGACCTCGCAAAAACACACCAATTTTTGAGAATTCAATAAAGGTGCATGAAGGACTTTCAAAAAGGCCTAGCCTCTTACGGGTGCTGGCACCATGTTTTTAATGAAAGTAGGGAAGGGTGTTCCCTGTCAAACTGGTTTAAAATGCATCTTATTTGAGGGAGCTGACTTGAGGTTTTTGAACACTCATATCATATATCTCTATTGTTTTTCCTGATTTTCAACATTAATAGTTCCTGGTTGTGCGTCAAAATTAAGGCCCCAAAGCTTGAGACTTGGAAACAAGAAGCAACAATCAATGTGTGTGTGAGTCCTCGGCGTGCAGCCAAGATCCGGCCGTACTGGTTGAAGCTGCTGGTCAATTACAAAAATATGATTTTGCAATTTGATGTGCCAAGCACAGATGATCCATAAGGTCTTGTTCAGAAATACTAGGCCAAACATCGATGGCTAATCATCCGTTTCCCATACATGGCAAGGCTCTCGCTTCGGGCCCCCACTGTAACTAGCACTTTTCCTACGTCTACGTATTGGTACGTCCTACTAGCAACTAAAATCTCGTTACAACGCACTGCCACGTAGTAGGATCATCATCATCATGACCGTCATGGTCATTATCGCCATCACCAACAGACATATTTCATCACTGTCGTCGTCGCAATCATCATCATCGTCATCATCAACATCGTCATTTTCAACATCAAAAACATATATATATATATGTACATATATAATATATAGACATAAATATTTATGACCAGCACCATCATCATTATTAGCATCATGACAATTATTTGCAACATCATCCCTATGATCATCATTGTCGTCATCATCATCACCATCAACATATTTTTCTTCTCCTGATTGTTATTCATTTTCATTTTCATCACTATCATGAACTGATCATCATGATCACTGTCATCATTACTGTCATCACCATTAACATGATCATCATCATCATCATCATCATCATAATCATCATCACCAACACCATCACCATCAACAACATAATCAACAAGACCAACAAGACCAACAAGACCAACAAAACCAACAACAACAACAACGACGACGAGGACGACGACGACGACGACGACGACGACGACAACAACAACAACAACAACAACAGCACCAGCACCAGCACCAGCACCGCCACCACCACGACGACCACCACCACCAACAACAACAACAAAAAAAGCACAACTACCACCACCAACAACAACAACATCATCAACATTAGCAACAACAACAGCAACAACAACAACATCATATATCTGATCGTGTGGCATCATGTTGCTGTGCAAGTGCAGGAGGTGATCTGATAGCAGGGCATCATGCCTGTGTGCAAGTGCAAGAGAAGATCCCATAGCGTAACAGAATGTGCATATAGTCCCTTCGTGTTCCTGTGCCAAGAGCCAAAGGACGCTATCACACCCACCGCACCCCACCCCACCGCACCCCTAGCCCAGAGCAAGAGGAAGAGCATGAGTAAGAGCGAGAGTACGAGTCAGAGGGTGTGAATTATGTTAACACTGAGAATGGTGGTACGAGAAAAAGTAGTTTTGGATGTGTAGTTCCAGTGAACGTTAAATCCCACCCCCCCCGCCCCAACCCCAACCCGCTGCTCTTGGATGTGTAGTTCCAGTGGTCGTTAACATCCCACCCCAACCCCACCCCGTTGTTCTTGGATGTGTAGTTCCAGTGAGCGTTAACATACCGCCCAAAGTGATGCATCATTGGGTGCCCAAAGTGGGCGTCCAAAGTGTGAGGAGTGTGCGATTTTTAAGGGGTGCCCAAAGTGTTGCGTCAGAGGGTGCCCTAAGTGATGCGGGTGCCTCCATAGTATCCCAGTTGAATATTACATTTTTGGGGATCACCATGCTCAGACAGACCCACATGATCCATGATTATGCTAATCTCATCCAACCTCATTTCTTTTCACCAGATCGGTGATCGCTGAGGTCTTGCTGCTGACCAGAGCACAGATGCTTGACCTTGATGCTACCTCTGGGATACACTGGGATGGATGGATATATAATATGATATGAATATATATGATATATAATAAATTATATTATATTGTATTATATTATATTTTATTAAATCATATTATTTCGTATTATATTCTATCGTATTATAATATTGTGTATTATATTTTATTTTTATTATATTATAGTATATTGATATTATATTATACTAATATTATATTAGATTATATTATATTATTATATTGTTTTATATTACATTATTTTGTATAATATTATTGTTTAGTGTATGATATTATATTGTATTATTATTGTATTGTAATATATTTGATTCTATTATATTGTATAATATAATATTTTAGTGTATGATACTATATTGTATTGTATTATATTTTTCATATTATATTTATTTGTATCTATTATTTGATATTGTAATATATTTTATTCTAGTATATTGTATTATATTTTATTATAGTGTATGGTATTTTGTTTTATTCTATCATATTGTATTATATTAGATTATTCTGTATTATATGTTATTGTTTGTTATTATGTTTTATTATGTTATATGTTTTAAATATTATATTTTATGTGAATATACATATATATATATATATGTATATATAATTCATTTATTTTATTTATTGTATATTTAATATAGGTTTATTGTATTATACAGTACTATATATTGAAATGCGGTCAGGGTGTTGAATTCCCCAGGTAGATTTGGAACTTTTGTGAGTCAGACACTGTGATTATGCGTTAATTCATCATAATTATTACTATTCCACATGAAAAATGCACATCATCTTGGAGCATGCTGCTTTTTGAATGCTGTGACTGTGATATTGGCAAGGGAAGTACCCCAAGGCTTTTTCCAAGGTGTTGCCTAGGTTGGCCAAAACGGTAAGATCATTGAGCAAGTGCTGTCCCTTCCCAGCGTACAGTAATTGGACCAAAATACGCCACAATTTGATATTTGGGTTCCAGCTGCAAAAACACCCATGATTCGAACATTTGTGAATATGTTTCTTGAGGTACAGTATATAATTTGTATACCTGTATGCAATTGTATGCACCCATTTGTCTTAACCAATCAGGTATCCTTTTTTCAGGCAAGCCATCGGTAAGGTCTTCCGCGGCCCCGTGAAGGCGAGAAATTGAGAGCCTCAAGTTCGTCGGAAAACATACCCTTTGGACATTTAATAGTTTGCGAAGCCATGGCCCATTTAAATCCACTTAGTTCAATGGTCTAAATCTACATACCTATATCAAACATGTGTGTGCATTTTCCATAGCAAACCGTTGAATTACCAGAAGGTAGTTCAGAAAGTCTTCTCGTTCAGGAAATGTTTGGCAAAGTGGGGCTACAGCGCCTCCGATGTGAAGATTCTCTTTGAATTCATGGACGTGGATGGTGATGGGAACTTGAACCTCAATGAGTTCATGGAGCTATTTCACCAGACACTAAGCCGCACCCACTGGGGCACCGCCGTACAAAGAGGAGATTTGCCTCTGTGTTCGAACCCCAACCTTTAATTCATACGGAGCTAGACAATACTCAATACTCCCTAAACAAAAAGTAGGTCTTGTATTACAGCCCCTGGGGCTGGAACAATCGCACATGGCATTGAACAGAAACAGGCCAGACTGCATCATGAATTGTCAGACACTTTGTTTTACTTTCCGTTTCGGGCTGCATAGACAGAATGTTGCAAATCGGTTCAGTCCATACCTCAGGTGCTGGGTCTGTGACACTTTTTCGTTAATCTTGATACCTGTGCTCCAAGAAAAAAAATATCTAGGTGCTGATCTCTTATAATTTATATCTTGGCCAAGGTCGTTTTATTGCATATGTGTATCTGTATGTATATATATATATATATGTGTGTGTGTATATGTATATATATATATACATATGTATATATATATACAATTATATACATTGACACTGATGTTTGAAGTCAGATATGCTGAATCCAGGATGAGAATTGGCATCACGACGGACAGCGCAGTTGATCTATTCCAAATGCTGCTCGGTTGATTTATTTTGATGTTCGAGCGCATTTGAGCTGCACTTTATGCATGGCACTTGCCGGTGGTTGCGGCACAACCTAAAGATGGGTGGCCAGTGCCTTTTGACGTCAGCGGTTTCATCTTGTAGTATCCTTTGTTATCCTTTCCTTTCTGTCTCTCTCCCTCTCCCTTTCTCTTTTTCTTTCTATTTATTTGTCTTTATTTGTCTCTGTTTTTTTCTTTTTCTCTTTCTCTTTTTCTTTCTCTTTCTCTTTCCTTTCTCCTTTCCCTTCTCCTTTCCCTTTCTCTTTCCCTTTATTTTCCTCTCTCTCTCTCTCTTTCTCTCCCCATCTCTCTTTTACAGCTAATGTAGGAATGTAGGAAAAGCGAAGAAGGTAGCTGAAGGAATATAGAGTCATATAGTGACGGCCAGGTTTGACGATGACCAGAGCGGCACCATTGAGTACGACGAATTCTTGCGGCACATTTTTCCTGAGGAGTATGTCAAGGCAGGGGTTCCTAAACGATCTTGGGGGGTGAACGTGGGATAAGTCATGAAGGTAAAAAGTGGTAGGTATAGTTCCAAGAGGGTAGATTGCATTATATACATATATTTCGTTCAATTCTCCAACATGACAATGACTTGACATGATTTTGAATAAAACTTTCATGGATATATAAAACCAGCCAGCTTTTGAGCTGCGAATTGACCAATCCAAATACTGGAGCGATTCCATTTGCCTTCCTGGGCCGGGGAACCATTTGAAAATGGGGCATGCTGAGGCCATTTTTCAAGGTTGCAGGGGGTGACCAAGCTTTACCAAAGCTGGGCTACCTACAAGTTTCCTACAAGCAATATCAAGCAATGTCATTTTCCAACCAAAGCCCCTCAGTGAACAGCCGGCGCCAGGGGACACAGAAAGGAATGTCCATCCAGTTGTCACGGAGTCGCGTGGGAGAACCCGGGCAGATCGGGCAGGATGTGGGCAAAGGAAAGCTGCACAATATGAATGGTTTTTGATGTTTTATGGGTATTGCTGGGACAAAACTATTGAACTTATTTGAATAGATTTAAATGTATATCATTTACATATATATATATACATTCAAATAAGTATATACATTAATATCCTTATATACACACATGTGTATATATATATATATACACGATTTAAATACATGCATACATGCATGTATGCATATAATTGCATATACTGTATATACAATTTAAAATATAGTATGTTTTTTAATACTCCGGGTACATATATATATATATATATATACATGCAATTAAAGGACCGGATAACCCCACATGTCAACTTCTTCCAACAAGTCACAAAAGCAAGGTGAAGACGGAATGGGAAAGGCAGGCAAGAGACATGAGATGGTGAAAGGTACGTATGAAAGACTTGCGTGTGAGAGAGTTGCTTGTGTATATATCTGTATGTGTGTATGTGTGTGTGAACCATCTGAAGAGATGTAAAACTTCTAACCTGTTTGATTTCCAGGCTCCTCGTTTTGACTTTGTGTTTTTCATTTCAATTTGCGCGGGACCCAGGCGCGCCACCAGAGCCAACCCAGTGCCATAAGTGCCACACCTGCCCCGCAAAGTGAAGGTCGATGTCACCAAGTGCCACGCGTGCCACGCGAAGTGAAGGTGAATGTCACCAAGTGCCATGCTTGCCACACAAACAGCCGCGGTGACAACGGCGTCAAACGGGACCCAAGCGCGCCAGCAGAGCCAGCCCAGTGCCATAAGTGCCACGCCCGCCACGCAAAGTGAAGGTCGATGTCACTTGCCAGTAAGCCGTGTTTGTGTGAGAGTTGTGTGTGAGTAAGTTGTGTGTGTGAGCAAGTTGTGTGTGTGTGTGAGTAAGTTGTGTGTGTGAACAAGTTGTGTGTGAACAAGTTTTGCGTGAACAAGTTGTATGTCAGCAAGTTGTGTGTGAACAAGTTGTGTGTGAGTAAGTTGTGTGTGAGGTGAACAAGTTGTGTGTGAGCAAGTTGTGTGCGTGGACAAGTTGTGTGTGAGTAAGTTGTGTGTGTGTGTGGACAAGTTGTGTGTGAGCAAGTCGTATGTGTGAGTAAGTTGTGTGTGAGAAGTTGTGTGTGGACAAGTTGTGTGTGTGTGAGAGTAAGTTGTGTGTGGACAAGTCGTGTGTGAGGAAGATGTGTGTGAGCAAGTTGTGTGTGGTCAAGTTGTGTGTGTGTGTGCGTGGACAAGTTGAATTTGTGCAAGTTTTGTGTGAGCAAGTTGTGTGTGCTCAATGTGTGTGAGTAAGTTATGTGTGGACTTGTTGTGTGTGAGGAAGTTGTGTGTGTGTGTGGACAAGTTGTGTGTGAGCAAGTTGTGTGTGAGGAAGTTGTGTGTGAGCAAGTTGTGTGTGAGTAAGTTGTGTGTGAGGGGAAGGCGGGAGGAGGCCGAGGAGGAGGAGCAGAAGGCAGGCGGGAGTGCACAACCAAAACCAAGAACCCCACACAAAGATGTGGAAGAAAGGTAGCATTCCGGAGCGGAGTGTCGATGATTGCTGAGGAACTCACCAAGCACCACCATATTCATTACATTTCACCCTGGAATTCATAAGGCCCTACAAAAGGAGGCCGCTCTACAGAGGCCCTATTCTGAAGTAAAGGCCTAAATTCAGCAAACAAGATTTGAAGCATATATCCTGACATATATATATATATATAACAATTCTCCAAGCACACCATGTCCAGCTAAGGGTGTGAAAAGATGCTTGCAAATTGCAAATACTTTGCAACTTTTGCTAAATATTTCACCCGAAAAAAACTAATGTTTTTTTGCAGGGGCCCCATTCCACACCATATTTGGGCCTTCTCACGCCAAAATTGGGCCTTCCAACGGTTTTTTGAAGCCTTTCCATGGGTATTCCACGGCCATTCCACGGCCTACCTTTTTCTGTGACTTCTTTAATCATCCTAATTCTTTTCTGGGGTCTCGAGATCTCATCATGATGGGTTCACTGGTCACATGTTCCCGAACCTTGGGCCTCCACAGAAGCAGTTATATAATCAGGCCTGGAAGGGGACCTGTGGTGAAACCCGATTTCGGGCCTCTACTTTTATTGAGGGTCGAGGCCGTACAAAAGGAGGCTGTTGACGGCCAAGGTTCATTACCACAAGGGGAGCAGCGAAAGCAGAACAGGAACATATGGAATATTGGGTGACTAGATATTCAGTCGGACATACACCAGTGGTTTATGACATACCGTAGCCCACAACTCTTGATGTTTTCTTGCTTCTCTTGTTCCACCCTTGCCCGGGATCATGTACCAGCCAAATATACCCAGGATATCCATTGATTCCCACGGCCCATGGCCAATACTGTAGTTCCAGGTAGTTGGACCACGGCTTATAGACGGCCGAGTGTTTTCATGCAATTTTTGCCCAAACAGTGTGTCCACACTGAGGGGTTCTTACGGTAGGAGTTAAGGCGGGTGCTTGAATTGATCAAAGTGCCCCATTTGGATTCCGTTTTTTTTCCTGCTAATTCTTTCATTAATTGCTTTTTTGACATGTCCAAGTGTATTTCGACTGCGCAGGCTCGCACAAACTCTGACGCGCGACGAGTTTTCTTACTTGAGAATGCTTGCATAAAACGGCTCTTATGACATGTCCAGGCAGTTCGATTGCGCAGGCTTGCAATAGTCGGATCATAAACTTTGAACCAGCCCTAAAGAAACCCTAAACCAACCCAACATAACAAACCCTAAACCAACCCTAAACTAAATAACCCTAAACCAACCCTAAATAAGCCGTGTAAACCAACTTTAAATAAACCCTAAACCAACTTTAAATAAAACCCGAAACCAACCCTAAACAACCTTGAACAACCCTTAAACCAACACTAAATAAACTTTCAATAAACCCTAAACCGAAACCAACCCTAAATAAACCCTAAACCAACCCTAAATAAAACCTAAACCAACCCTAAATAAAACCTAAACCAACCATAAATAATTTTAAATAAACCCTAAAGCAACTTTAAATAAACCCCAAACCAACCCTAAATAAACCGTAAACCATCCCAAAACACTAATTAAACCATAAACCAACTCGAAACCAACCCTAAATAAACCCTGAACCAACCAACACTATGATAGCATCCAATGCCACTATTTAGACCCATTTTGGTTGTGTTTCAACAATCGGTGAACAGTGCAAATGGCAAAATTTAGCTCCAAATTTCAGCAAACTACAAGTTCTTGCTCCAAAATGTAGCAAATACCAAGGAAAAATGCCCCAGACTGAAAAACAAAAAATAAGTAAACAGAAATCTGCACCCATAGATCTACATAGAAGGTCCTGCTGCTGTACTTGCGATCATGTTTAAACTCATTTGTTACTGTTCCATAGCTACTGTTGCTTGTACCTGCTACATTGGCTTCCTACCCCCACACTGTTTGGGGTCTCTTGCCAGTGTAATCATGTTTGTTAGCGCATGTGCTTGCTTCTACGTCACGTATGGGTTGGGGCTGGGGTGGGGTGGGGCGGGACAAAAA